TATTCTTTCATGAGCTACAAGTAACTTCGCAATGTTTCAAATTCATGACGTTATCAGACCGGAAGTTACTTTAATGAGAATTTGAAAACAACCATATTTTAAATTTAATTTATATCATTCAATCCATGTCGTATACCTTCGCAGCCCAAATAACGATATCCATTAGCATGTTCACTTTTTGCTTCCAAATACTGTGACGTCATAAAACCGGAAGTTAGGTGTTATGATTGCAAGCACTTATGTTTTCCATATTTTCATACGTTATTTAACTTCACAATGAAAAAAAATGCCTGCCCGACCACTCTGCGTCTGTAACAACAAACGCGAACCTCTAGTTCTTTCTTTCTTTTTTTCCCCGGACATTACTTCTCCGCGGTTTTTCTCTTAAACGGTATATGGTATGAACTTGTAACATATATCGACCCTCATCCGAAGTGGTGCATATTACTCTGACGTCGTGATTACATCATCAGGTGTCAAATTACAAGTGATTTTATCTGAAAAAGTGACCAAATACTTTCACTTATAACTCTTAATTAAACATTCAATGATGTTTGTATTCTGTAATCAGATAGACTATTAATCGCTTCACATTTTTTGTCGCGTACATGAACTCGCTTGACCTTTACCGGGTCTACCGGAAGGTCAAAGTTAGGTGAATTTAAAATGAAGACGTTAGCCTGACATCAAAACAAAGCAACATTTCTTCCGAACGGTTCACGGTATGATCACAAAACCTTGTGTGAACTTGTACCATGTTACGAAGATGTTATAAATTTTGTTACCTCATCATGACGTCATCAAGTATAAATTACAAGTGATTTAAGGGCAAAAGTTTGCGTTACATCTTTTGAACTAAATAGAGTATCGTGTTCGTTTTTTCGTGAGGTTGTAGACTATGCCGTGAGAAACATTTAGTGTTCCCAGACACAAAACCGCTTGACCTTTACTTCCGGTGTTACTGGAAGTGCAATTAAAACTGAATATAACTCAAAACCGGAAGCATTTTACTACAGACACATATATTATGAAAGTGTTTAGTGAGGAATGCCAGACACAAAAACAGTGTGATGACGTCATCATCATTCGAAAGGGCGCCCCCTAGCGGCACATAAAATATTGTTTCTTTTCTTTACTTTTAAAACCATAGGTTCAAATTTTACCAAATCAACCCTTGATATTCTTTGATTAACCATAGATAACTTGGCAAGGTTTCAAATTCATGATGTCATCAGACCGGAAGTTACCTTTATGAGAATTTGCCAACGATCATATTTTAAATTTAATTCTGTCATTTGATCCATGTCGCATATCTTAGCCCAAATAACGATACCATTACAATGTTCACCTTTTGATTCCAAATACTGTGACATCATCAAACCGGAAGTTCGGTGTTATGAATACATACAGATATATTTTTCAAATTTTCATATGTTATTTAACTTCACAATGAACATCCACTCCGAACTAAATCAGTATTCACTTCCTGTTTTAGACTAATGACGTTATCAAGCCAGAAATAACTTGTATATGTGTACATGGAATGTTTACTGAAATTTAATTGATTGTCCTGGAAAGGATTGAATTTCCTGATACTTTGTTCTTACATAAAAAATATTCATAACTTAACTGAACAGTGTTTCATAAAATAGTTGTCTGCCCGACCACTCTGCGTTTGTAACAACAAACGCAAATCTCTAGTTTCATACATAATTTAACTTCACAATGAACATCCACTCCGAACTAAATTAGTATTCACTCTCCTTTTTTGACTAATGACGTTATCAAGCCAGAAATAACTTGTGTGTTCACATAGAATGTTTACTGAAATGTATCACATCCTTAAAGGTGCATTTTTTAAAACAAAATAATGGATTGTTCTGCAAAGGATTTAATTTCGTGATCCTTTGTTCTTACATAAAAATATTCATAACTTAACTGAACAGTGTTTCATGAAATAGTTGTCTACCCGACCACTCTGCGTTTGTAACAACAAATGCGAATCTCTAGTTTCCAGTTGTTCTTGTACGTGTGCTGGAGTATTTTTTTCTAAATCTGTTCAAAGCTGTGTCCAGCCTTTTTCTTATGATGATCATCATTATTTTATTTCACTCCACAAAAGCGATTTAGGATGTAAACAAAAGTTACTCTTGTTACCAAATTTAGTTGCCTTTTGTTCTTAAATGTGTTTATTAGTGTCAATAAAACACTTATATTGATATCTATGTTCATGCAAAGAATGATAATCCTAAATACCAAAATTTGATTCATAAGAAACGTTGGTGAGAATTTTTTTTTCGGTTACTCACATTACATTGACCAAAAAAGGTATAAAATGCTACTTTTTGACATCTAAAAATGGATGAAGGCTGTGAATTGACATATGTTGTAGAGATTAAGACTATCATACATGCTAGAAATAAGGTTATGATTGAAATATCTCTAATTGCATAAATAGCAATCAAGGTTTTAACTTTGCCACATTTTTTGAGTTCTTTGTAATAAAAAAAAATATTTTTCACTTTACGACACGATTTCTCAGAAAATGTTTGATAAAATTTGGTTTTCTTTGTTAATTTCTCATACTTGAATGTATAATCTGTAATAAAAATGTGAAACTGGGTTAAAAAACAAAACTTTTTGTTTCTTAGCCACGTCCATCAAACCGTGGAATTGCCCATACATGTATATATCAATTGCCCCATATATTATTTTGAAGTGCCTCCCTTGAAAAATGTAAGGCAACCCAGGTCCCCCTCCCCCCCCCCCCAGACCAGAAGTTTAACCCTACTTTCCTAGTATTGCACGTTTTGCTTTCAAATAAGATGGGCAAGTTCTAATCACATGCAATGAATAACCAGCATGGTGACACTTAGCTCAAACTGTTCACACTGTTGGGGGATGGGTGGGGGGGGGGGGGAACCAGGGGTTATGGACATCCACTGGGGGACACGTGCTCCCACTAATGACACACACCACTATCTAGAGCTAGCAAGATGCTGTATTTGAAACAACGCATTAGGGCTGTCAAGGACGAGTATTTACAGGTAAACGTGCACTTGCTGTATGTACAAGTACTAGCGTAAATATATGCAAATTAGGTTTTTTTCCTTGACATCGGTATCTTTAAAAAAAATCATAACTTAAAAACTTTAAGAGCTCCCATCCCATTTTTTTAAAGATTGTTGCTGACATCATAAACTAACATTTGAAAAAAAAATTATGAAATTTAAAGCATATTGATTTTCGTAATTTAAGGTCAAAGGTCATTTCGTTACGCATTTCTTCTGCACTTCATGCTACGATTTTGGTTATATTTTATGAAATGGAGGCCTTTCCAAGAGCTTTAATATGATGTATTGGCTTTGTAGGCATTATAGCTTTTGAGATACAAGTATTTAAAGTTCGTTGATCCGCATCTCAAAAACTAACGAGCCAATGTACAAAAAAAAATCAGTTCTGGGTGTTTCTCATATAGGCCAATCATCACACCAAATATTGTTTCCATCTGTGTGGGTCGGGTCCAAAATCATGTTGAATTGACACGGAATGACCCTCATGTGTAGTGTTTTTTGTCTTCGGATCAAGCTCCGGAGCTCATTCACGCAGATGGAAATACATTGTACAAGTAAAGCCGTCCATGGACAAATAGGTTTGGCTCTTGAATTTTATAAACCCTATCTCAGAGACAAAATTTGCATTTGCAGTCATTTTTTCTTCACTTACATGTAGGTTTAAAGATCAATATTTTAATACCATTAAATTGAATTTTTAAATTTCTCAACAAGTAGGTGAACATTGCAGTCAAAAGTGGGTTTCCTTCTTTTGGCACCACTCTGTATATCCCCAGTTAAAAAAAGGGTAGATTTTCCTGTGACAGTCAAATTGAAAGTTTCATCACTGGGAAAATATAGTTGAAAGATTAATGCAGTGCAAATACAATGCCAAGAAATGCACTGATATTGCAGAAGTGGAATTTGGAGGGTTTTTTTTAGTATAAGCCGTAGGAGAACACAATAACCCTGCAACTGTTACCCAACAACGTGGCAAGTTGGATTGTGTGGGACTGTGTTGAATTGAGCAGGAAACTCATAGGAGTAACCGTCGGACTCTGTTGGATTTAGCAGGGTAGTCCTGGGGAACTATTTGGGGGTAAGGGTACATAATGTCTTCACTCATTTAGCCGAGTCCAATAGTGTTTCATGAAACAATCCAACATCCGTGTCATCAGCACACAAAAGTAGAGACCCACAGGTTCTGTGATAACAGCTAGGTGTGCATGCGAGAAAATAGTGCATCGATACGGTCCGGTATGTTTGCATTAGCCTTAACTCCCTTGCATGATTTACTAGGAACCATACCCATCCTGGCAAATTCCAACACCATATGGGAAACTGCACATACATATTACTGACTTAGTTTCAGGGCCCAATTTCATAGAGCTGCTTAAGCAGAAAATTTGCTTAAGCACAAAAATGTCTTGCTTAATAAAATCAGGTTACCGGCCAAAACTCCATGCGACTGTTATGCTAAGTAAACAACAGCTAAATACCAGTCACAAGCAATGTACATCACATGGTCAATTTTGGGCCTATTTACTGGCCTGCACCCTTATACCGGTAGATTACACATGAACTTTGACATTTGTATGAGTCTTGACTGCCCTTTGTATGACCCCCTCCCTCGTAATCTTCACTGGCTCCCAGTCAATCTCATGATACTCTTCAAACTTCTTCTCCTGACCTATAAATGTCGTCATGGTCTCGCCCTTGCTTACCTCCAGGAACTGATCATCAGATATGAACCACAAAGAAATCTCTGCTCCAGCTCCCAGTCCTTGCTCACCTGTGTCTCCCCATCTACAAGATCCTACGGACATCGTTCAGTCTCTGTCCAAGTCCTTGCTTACCTGTGTCTCCCCATCTACAAGCTCCTACGGACATCATTCAGTCTCTGTCCAAGTCCTTGCTCACCTGTGTCTCCCCATCTACAAGCTCCTACGGACATCATTCAGTCTCTGTCCAAGTCCTTGCTTACCTGTGTCTCCCCATCTACAAGATCCTACGGACATCCTTCCTTCTCCGCCGCCTCTCCTGCCCTGTGGAATAAACTACCCTCTGACATCAAAGAAGTATCAACTCTTAGAACATTCAATTCAAATCAGCTCTAAAAATACACTTGTTCACGCGAAACTCTTTGTAATATTTGTTTTGCATCGGGATTTTGTGTGAAATGCACAAAATTAGCATGGATTATTATATATCAATACCACTTCGATCAAAAGCCATAAAAAGTTGAAAAATTGACAAAATCTCAAAAAAAATTTGTTTAACCATTTTATTTTATGTTTATATATCAAGCCATTTCTATGGTGTGCGATGCGCACATGATGTACTCAACTTTGCCATAAATATACACTTGGTTCTCTACATGTATGTGACTAGTGATTGATTAGACTACAACCCTGGAAAAAAGAAGGGGCTGTAGCCTGCAGTTTGGATTTGTTGTCTGGTGACTGAACAAAGACAACCTGGTGAGAAATGGAACAGTCCCAAAATTATAACAGGTTTACAATTACTTCATGCAGATCTGAATCCTACTGATGGCATATCTTGTAGACAATTGGAATGAAGAGGACATGCAAGAAATCAGGTACATGTACATTGTGTATGTTTACTACTCCTCAAAGGTCTGGTCAGAATTGTTGATTTTGCAAAGAAAGTGTGGCGTGTCATGATGCTTTTCCTGAACCACTTTTGGGCAATTCCACAGTTACTCACGTTACGTTTTTGATGTACTTTTGAGTTTCCTTGGGCTGTAATTACCTTACTGAAAAGGTTTAATAACTGTTATCCCCATGGTAGATAGAGTAGACCTAGACCTACCTAAGCACCAAAGATAACATCCAGAAAAATGTGTTATGTATGATAAACAAGACGCACAAAATCGGTTACTCACGTTACATTTTCGGACATGCATAAAAAGCCAACATGCTTTGATCAAAAGTGTCCTCATTCAGGCAACCTGTGGACATTTCTTTTAAATGGATAAAAGACCATGCCATGGGGCACACATAATAAGGGTAAAACAAATCCTCCTGAATCTTCAATTTTTTTGCAATATGTTTGTACCCAATAGGCATCAGAACTACTAAAAACTCTTACTAAAATTTGCATTTTGGATCTTCAATGGCAAGTACTCCACCAAGATAAAGGTTTTCATCTGACATTATTCTGATACTATCACAGTGCATACTGATCTATCAGGAATTTGATGTTTCCTCTTAAGTCCTCTGGAATTTAGTTTTAATATTAACTACTGCTGACCCATCAGAACAAACCTCTCATGTTCTGAGAGTCTGCTAAAACGTAATGTATGCCACTATAGCACACAATATTGGGCCCATGGAAAGGCCATACTGTCAGAGACCATGGTGTGGAGAGTGGGTTCCAGGATAGCACTGTACCGGTAGCTTAGTGTGAAGTGCCTACATGTAATGTTATTTAGCTTTTGTTCCAAATAAACATTTTTATTTCAATGTAGGGACGTACAGGAGTCTTCTGTATTCCATTAAACAACACAAAAACTTCATAAAATACTGTAATTGGATTCAATTTACAACAATTATGCTGTTTCAAAGACCATTTTGCACCATAAACAGGATAAAATATGCTTAAAAGTATCTCTAATGCTTGAGGGTCTTTGGTTTAAGATAAACAGTTATCAACAAAATCAACATTATCAAGCAAAAGTCAGTTTGGGTATAGTTTGGGTGACTTGGGATAAAAAAAACTTTGTTACTCACGTTACTTTTTGGTTACTCACGTTACAAAAGTTACGTTACCAAATTTAGTTACCTTTTGTTCTTAAATGTGTGTATTAGTGTCAACAAAACACTTATATTTATATCTATGTTCATGCAAAGAATGATAATCCTAAATACCAAAATTTGATTCATAAGAAATGTTGGTGAGAAAAAACTTTTATATCTTTTCGATTACTCACGTTACATTGACCCAAAAAAGGTATAAAATGCTACTTTTTGACATCTAAAAATGGATGAAGGCTGTGAAGTGACATATGTTTCAGAGATTAAGACTATCATTAATGCTAGAAATAAGGTTATGATTGAAATATCTCTAATTGCATTAATAGCAATCAATGTTTAAACTTTACCAAATTTTTTGAGTTCTTTGTAGTAAAAAAACATTTTTCACTTTACGACACAATTTCTCAAAAAAACGTTTGATAAAATTGGGTTTTCTTTGTTAATTTGTCATACTTGAATGTATAATAAAAATGTGAAACTGGGTTAAAAGATCAAACTTTTTTCTAGCCTTGTCCATCAAACCGTGGAATTGCCCTTTTCATTAATTTCTAAAATGCTGGCAGTTCCCCTCTGAATACATGTGTGCATGGTATTATGCCGTTCCAAACATGGAAATACTATGAAGTAGACATTTGATAACTTGAAATATGGATGCATAGTATTTTCATCACCCTTTGTTCATTTTAATAGGAATCTCTTGAGGAAGCCCACAGCCCAAACAGAGCATGGTGAGCTCAGGGGCATACTTAAAACAGTCTTGAGCCAAGTTACCCGGGGATTGGACATGTCACCCCTCTTCACTGATATTGTCAAGGTTTGTACACGTACATGTTTATTATCAAACAGATTAAAATTTGAGTTACATCTTACCTTTATGATTGTGTAAAGATGTCAGTAATTGAAAGAACGCTGGTAATATGGTTATTCTTTCCATTCACAACTGGTTTATTGTAGTATAAAAATTGGATATATGGATCTGAAGATCAGGTTTTTGCAATCCCTTCTCTATTGAAAACCAGCAGTCTGTAATTCATATTCATAAATACAGTTTACCCATTCCTATTGGTCAAGAGCCTGTCACATGGGTAGTTTTAAACCGCTGATAAAACACCAGCTATTTTGAAAGACTTTATTCCTGTACCGCTGTGTTGTGCACCACATTACGCGCCGTGCGCACGCCAATCTCTATAAAAGTAGATTTTTACCACTACATACGAGGCACAAACATTAGATATGGCCAGTGTTGTGACTTTTTGGACCGAAAGGAATTAATAAATGGGAATAAATATGTGCTTGACTGGTATTAAACAAGTAAGTTTCCATTGGAAATGGATTTCAGTGCCAGTAGCAACACAATATTATTCCATATAATGATTTTATACGCAAAGCTTTTGGCATCAATTATAATGGTGCACATGTGATAGTAGTAATGCAGATTTGTTATCATTGGCTGTGGAAAATTCGTTTTTTTGTGGGTTCCAGCTCTGTGCTACCGTGAGCATAATTGAGAAGAAGCTGGCCTATCTGTACATGACTACATATGCACGTAAGAAGCCTGACCTGGCCTTGCTTACAGTCAACACAATACAGAAAGACTGTTGTGATGCTAACCCGATGATCAGAGGATTGGCTCTCAAAACACTCTGTTCTTTGAGGTAAAACATTGTAACATTTGGATGACCCAAGGCTAGTTTTATGTCTGCATCCTTAGATTTAACTTTGACAGAAATGAATTTAACCCAAATTGATTTAATGACAGTTTCTTTGGGGGTTATAATAAAGAGAGTAAGTTTGTGGTTGCACCATGTGACACAAAATCTCTTGAGTTTGTATGCTTCTAAAAAGAACTAGAGAGAACTCAACATTTTTGACTGTCTGGGAGACCAAGATATTTACATGTCACATGGTTCAACCTGGAACTAACTCATGCACTCATTATTGCTCATTATTGGGGGAGGGGGGAAATTGCAGTTAAGTGGAGATTTGAAAAGCAAAATCGGGACAGTGATAAAAGCAAATCAGGACGATGAAAATTGGTAACAGCCATTGTACTTGGGGTTTATTCTAGCAGTGTTGCTGCTAGTGATGACAATTTTCAAAATTGTTATTCCAAAATTTCTCATTTTTACGAAAACCTTTTTTTAACGTTGTGTTCAATTTAGTCAATGTATCAATCGTGCTTTGAAATATGGTAGACTTGGTGAGCTGATTGAATACACCAAACACCCATTGCTAGCTGGCCTGAAGGATAAGAGTGTCTATGTCAGGAGAATAGCAGTCTTGGGCTGTCTGAAGGTCCATCACCTCAACCCTCAATTTTCAACAGGTAAACTGTCTCCACAAGCACCAGTGTTTCGTCTAGGATGTCAGAAGTGCCCATTCTGCCATATTGCTCAGAAAATTCAAAGAAAAAATGGGGGGGGGGGAGAAGATCAAGCTGGTGTGAAGTACAAGGTGTTCTGGTCAAAGGTCATTTGGTTACCCATGGCTATCGGAACTAGAAAGCCTGTCCAGGGTTAACAATCCAGGTAACATGGGAAACAAAAATGTTTAGAAAATGCTTCAAAACAAAATTGCACACATTAATGTCTACAAAGATGTGCAATATATTTTAATGTGAATTTCACCGATGCCAAATGGTTTAGACCCATATGAGACTGATGGTGAGACCAATCACTCCAAATGCAAGGGAATTCCCCACAATGAGAAATTGGGGGTACTTGAAAGCTGTGACAATGATTCACATGTACCATGGTAGCAGCAAGTCCATACTGGCAAGCAGAGTATGCTAGTAACCTTGCATACAAATAATGGTAAACAATCACCAGTGGATCTACAAAAGGGGGGGGGGGTCCTTGTATTGGGTGCAGACCCGAGAGCATATTGACAGGTTTTTTTTTTTTTTACGGACATCCGCAAAATTGAAAAGTGGGGGGGGGGGGGTATTTTGGCCTTCGGGGACATTTTTTGGCCACCTGGGGGGGGGGGGGGGTGCAATTGTTCTTGGCCAATCACAATGCATTTTTTGTAAAGCATTTCATCTTCATCACAAGTGGACAGGTGACAAGATAGGAGCATACTAACGTCAGTGGTAGAGTTTACTTAAAATAGTGATAAACAGTAGACTGTCTTCATGCTGATACAAGTGTTGGCATGTCTAGTTTAACACATCACTTCTCCTGTAAATAGAACAATTTAACATCAAAAACCTGCGACAATGTACAACCTGTTGCGAATATTGCAAATTGTTGACTATTATAAAAATAATAATGTTGGCCTTAACTTTCGTTCAATCTATCACGCAGATAAAAATTGGATAAATTCAAACACGGGAGTCTGTGACTGGACTAGTCAGTGTTTGGTACCAAAAAGTTCACATAAAACGTGAACTTGGACTGGCGAGACTTGCATGTATACCCATGTTGATGTCTTCCTCCCAACTTTCTTTTTAAGTATTGAGTATTAATTACTTAAGAATTTAACATGTTTCATCCACCTTGTAGATCATGACATCGTTAACACGCTATATGAGATGCTGAGAGATAAGGATGTAATAGTCATCACCAACTGCTTGATGGCTCTTGAAGAGTTACTACTGCAGGAGGGAGGAGTGGTCATTAACCAGAAGATAGCACATTATCTTATTAACAGGTCATGCAAGCTTAACCACTTTTCTCTAATAAAGTGTCATTAGTTATGGCTGAAAATAAGCTGATAACAAGACGATGGCATTCATAATTGCAACCAACCCAATCCACCCAAATCAAATACCAGCATTTCATGATGTGATGAAATCAATAAAGTACCGCAAAGTCATTGTTGGGGATTATCCACTTTTTTATAGTACCCAAAATGTACTGGTGCTAACCCACACAGTAATGGATTTTTACAGAGTCACACACCTGCGTAGCAGGAAAACAATGAAAATAAGTAAGTAAAGTAGGAATGGTGCTTCTTTACTGTCGAGTATTTCAGTTGAGACTATTCATTGAGAGCAAATCCTAGGTTACATATTCTTTCAACACTTTGGCTTGAGATTCTGCACATAGAGCCTGTTCAATGCTCTGTATACAAATGGCACAGTGTCCATTATTTTGCTGTTTGTTCTTATTTGCAGATTGTCCGATTTCACTGAGTGGGCTCAATGTTGCATCTTACAGTTGCTCTTGAAGTACAGACCAGAAAATGACGAGGAAACGTTTGATATGATGGTAAGCTACTGTAAGACCAAAAAAAAAAAAATCTGCTTCTGATTACATGCCACTTAAAAAATAGACTTGGAAGGTCTGGATTGCATATCAACATAGCATGCAGAAGTTACTCGGGTACCATTCTGTGAGGCCGTAAATTTGTGCAAACCAATAGAGAGTCCAATCTAGATACAAGTGCAGTGAGTTGTGCTTGTATATGCACTTTGCTGTAGAACATTCTTAGCAGCTATGGCAATCCTATTTATGTAGGACACAGGATATTTGTTTTATGTCATAGTGTTAAATTTAATGAAAGGGGCACTAGGTTCTGAAATCTCTGAAAATTTCATGTTTTGGATTGTTTACTTATCCAATTATCCAATTTCAAACATCTGGTTGAAAGAAAACCAACGTAATGTCTCACCGATCCTGAGAAAAGATGGGGACACAATGGAGTACGTTCTCAATGTACGATTATACACGTTGTGTGTATCTGTACAGACAGCACCGTGCTCGCGAACAGCGGTGACCATTCACCAATGTACAAAATATGGTTTCTTACATATCCGCAAAAGGCGAACACTTTACGGATGAAATCACAACTAGCACCCAAACACCTGGACTTTTTGGGGTCGCAAAAGTGGACCCCGAAAGTAGTTCTCGTGCACATAATACAGGAATAACACAAAAACGCCCAGTTTTTAAAGGATAGTTGTGTGGATGTTTATATCCTACTTCTAAATGTTCTTTCCGAATCATTTTGTTCAAAGCGCATTTTGTAGCCCAATTGGGCTGTTCCAGGACGCATTGTCCCTTTAATGTCCACATAAAATAGTATTCATGTACATGTACATGGTTATATCTCAACAAGTCTTTGGCTGTCATTAAATGTCTGTATATATCGATTTATGTCTACATTATGTTTATGTATACTATCCTACATAAATATTCCATTTCTGACTATCATGACTGTCAGCAGTCATGAGAGGCCCGTCTAAATTTGGCTTTCCTTCTTCATTAACTGTGATGGTTAAATAAACTATCCAGTCATTATATTGAGATCAGTGTTTCCTTCAATCCTACAGTTTGATTCCAGGCAAATTATCTACAGGGCTGCCAACTTTGAGTAAGAGCTGAGAGTGAAAATTTGGGGGAAGTTTTGTTGTGATTCAACAACTTGCGAAAACATGGCGTTGGGTTGGGGTGCCCGTTTATAAGGGCCCCAAATTTTTTTACAAAGTTTAGAAGCTCTATGATGCATTTTAGAGCAATTCTGGTGGGTCTTTAAGGTAGATTGTTCCTTAAAATTCAGAAGAGATTTATAACAGCTTTGTAATAAAAAAATGAACATTTCACAAACATTACAACTTCCTGAACTGGAAAAGTATTGATTACAAGTATGTTTCAAATTACGAAATTAAGGCGAAGAAAAATGTACTTAACTGCTTCCAATTACATGCATTGCAAAATAGGGTTAGTAGGTTGGAAAAAAGAGAGTGGCCATCAAAAGTGATAAAAACTTGCCTCAACCAATTCAAAAATTTATTTAAGGTGGGTAATTCGGAAAAATAATGGAGAATTTAAGTCGTCCACACCACTATATGCTCAACATTATTCACGACGGCCGCTGGCACAGCCAGCACTCAGGCTGGCCGTACATTGCGTTGCGCACATGGTGCAGTATCAGTGTGCATAACTGCACCACTGTGTACCACCCATGCAGTGTTGCAGAAACACGCTACGCTGTTTGCAACAAGTTTGAGCTGAACAACCCACTCATTATAAAGATATTGAAACAGAATATACATGAATAGAAAATAGAGATCACATTTTGGTGATTAATTTGCAGAAATTTTCTTTCTCCATCGATGTTTGTTTGGCATTTTTACGATCAAAACTTGGCTGGTTGCACTATGCACCAATGGCGTGGGTTCAGGGCCCGCTTATTAAGGCCCCGAAAAAATTTGGATTCTAGTCGATCTGTTGCACGATCTGAATCAATTTCTGACCAGTTTAACCAGTATTCGTTTTAAGAAAAAGATCATCATTAATTTAAAGGTATAGTCCATCATTTGTAATTTCTGCATTTTGTTCGTTTGAAGCAACAAACGTGCTCAAAATCTAAAGAAGGGTGCTGAACAACTAACCTGATGAAGTTTCAGCTCAGCTTCAGCTGTATATTTCGAGAAAAACAATATTCTAGGATATAGATTTCAAATCAAAAGTTGCTGAATCATGTTTTGAATTGGGCCTGAATTCAGCATCCGAGACATGTTTTCACTGAGCCGAATGCAGCCACACGATGTCGCGCACTGATACAACAAATTAAAGCAACCGCGTGTGCGTCGTGTCAACACTTGCGCGCGCTTCGCTGAATAAAAGAACAAACTACTAAACTATTACAAACTATTTCCAACGGTGCGTCTTAAGACGCACCATTGGGAAGGCCTTCTTTCCTTGATTTCTTCAAAATGACAACATGTCAGAAAGAATAATTTCACAGGGAATTCAGTACCCCTACTATCTTTCAATCAAGTATGTTTTTCAACAATAATTATGTCAGTGCCTATGAAACAAATCGACTGGAGACATGTTACAATGTTTGGTAAAATGTTTGGATGAACCCTAACTCCCTAGCGTCTTTTACTAGGAACTGGACCAAGTCCATCAAAATCCATCAATCACTGTGCGTCCAATACAAAACTATATGATATAATGGAATCCACCACTGACGCACTGGTTGACATTCATGGACTTGCTACACATGGCTTTTATCACAATAGCATTACAGGAAGCTAGGCAAATCAATTGGATACCCCTAGCACTGCTTCAGGCCATTAGGCCCAAGTCCATCATACTCCATCAATATTTGGTCATGCCAGGCCTTCTGGACCAAATCCCCCAAAATCCACCAAAATGGGCGGTTGGATTTTGATGGAGTTGGGGTGATTAGGGTTAAAAATGACTGCTCTTTTATATTCAGCTCCGTTAACTGACACAGCAGGCAGGTTACTACATGTACCTATTGCTTTTCAATACACTTTTATCCCTTAACCCAAAAGCACCTGTACTACATTGTATTACATTGTGTTTATTCACTGACAAATCAATACACTCATAGAGTGCTTGGGAAGTTTTGGTCGCTACGATGAGTAAAAGGCAGGGCATTTTCAGGGGCTACAGTGACTAAAGGGTTAATAAAGTTGCCAGGTTTAGTGTTTAAAAAAGCAACAGTGACTACAACTTTCCTGTATTCATTTTTTTATACATTATCACGCCCCTGATAGACCCACTGGCCACTGACCATGAAAGAATGTATCAAAATGTCATACATGTATTAGGAAATTATGATTGGTTGTTTTGCCTCTCTGCGCAGAATGTACTGGAGATTTATCTGAAGCATACCAATTCCGGTGTGTGCATGGCTGCTATACGCTTGATGTTGCACCTCACGAAAGATTTGCCGGACATTATTCAAGATGTATATAAGCGACTGAAAGGTGAGTTACCATCAATTTGTAATTAACATTTAGGCTGTTTCGGCAACCAGCCGAAACAGCCTTTGTTTTCGTTAAGATTTTATTTTATTTTATTTTATTTTTTTTTAGTCATTTTCCCCATAGCATTTGTACACGTTTTTTTGTTCCCAGCACTTTGGGCACTAAAATCAATCCTATTGCCTTTATACCTGGCACACACTTGGACCACCATCCACAGATGGTCACCGAACATTGATGTTATCATGACGTCATCATGAGTCACGTGACGTCACAATATAGGTGCAAATTTTGAAGGACTATATCTATAGAACTACAGGTCCGATTGGGATGAAACTTGGTATGTACCTAAACCGGGATGTGTTATAGATGAAAATTGAAGTGATGTCACGATGACATCATCACTTAACATACGACGTCATAATAAAAATGCATATTTTGAAGGCCAATATCTACACAACTACAGGTCTGATTGGGTTGTAACTTGGTGTGTACCTAGACTGGGATGTGTTATAGATGAAAATTAAAGTGATGTCACGATGACGTTAACACGTGACATGTGACGTCACATATTAAAATTGCATATTTTTGAAGGCCAATATCTACAGAACCACTGGTCTGATTGGGTTGTAACTTGGTATGTTCCTAGACCGGGATGTGTTATAGATGAAAATTGAAGTGATGTCACGATGACGTCATCATGTGACATGTGACGTCATATTAAAAAAGCATATTTTGAAGACCAATGTCTATAGAACTACAGGTCTGATTGGGTTGAAAGTTGGTATGTACCTAGACCGGGATGTGTTACAGATGAAAATTGAAGTGACACCACGATGACATCATCAAGGGTCACGTGACGTCACATTAAAGATTAATAGATGTAATCTTTGGAAATCAATATGAAATCAACCGTGAGAGACCTGAACTTGACGTTTGCGGGAATTGATGGAATAATATAGGGTCTTCATTTTTGATATTACGTGCAAAATCGCATGACCCTTCCTATGTGCTTTGTATATTTAGAATTGGTAAAATGTGTGAACTTGCTTTCAACGATGTATGCTTTGGCTAAGTTGTTTTTTACAAAAACTAACGGTGACGTCATAAAATGTTAGAGCGCCCTCTAGCGGCAGGTTGTTATAGATGATTAGAGATGGAAATTGATGTGACGTCATCATGACATCACGTGACCTGTGACGTCATAATTCAAAGCCCTATGAGAATATAGTCACATATTTATATGCGACCATTTTATTATAAACGGAGCTATGCATCCATTCTGGATGGAACTTAAACGTGAAACTTTACATGTCACATGTCACAAAAAAGTTACCGAAACAGCCCTGTGTTTGTCCACAAACATAAGTCTAGTTTATACTTTTGTTGTTATTCAAATGGCAGTCAATTTCTCTCCCATCGTCTTCCAGTTTTAAAGTAGATATAACTTCTCCATCACACGTTCATGTTTTTATTATTTTTTGTTTAATTTCAATAAAAAAAAGCTTTATAAATGTTTTACAATAACACTAAATAATGAAGGTTTGCGGAAACACCATGTGCGAATAATTTCTCAACTAAGAGAATGGTTCTGAAAAGAACCAGAGATATAAACTCTGGTTCACTCTCCTGAAGACGGTCAGAGCTTACTGACCGGAACGTCGAGTTTATACCTCTGGTTCTTTTCAGAACCATTCTCTTAGTTGAGAAATTATTCGCACATGGTGTTTCCGCAAACCTTCATTATTTAGTATCTTCACCATGCAAAGCCTCAAATCTTACTTACAATAACACTGTTTAGGACCTTAACACAGCTAAGTACATGCTAATCAATGACTCTGTATACATTTTGTATTTGTATGGACAGGTCCTCTAGTTAGTCTACTGAGCAGTGACCGTCCTGAGTTGGTGTACACATCGCTTTGCCATCTAGAGTGGCTGAATATCAAGGCACCTGGAAAACTGGACAAATACTACAAAAAGTTCTTCTGCAGGTTTGTCAGTTGATGCATCCTGACTTGTTAACCTTTGTTACAAAGTTTTGGGAGACACTTACCAGTCCTATATTCTGTATGACCATAGACCTGTATTCCCGTATAACCATAGCCCCATATGTTAAAGTTTTTGTAATCGTTCTCATTTCCTAAACATTTGCCTGAATTTCATAAAACTTGACTACATAGGTCATTCGGTAGCAAAGTTAATGTGAGATATATGTGAGGTCAAAGGTCAACTGAGGTTAATAATGGTCTTATAATAGGGGTCATCAGAGGTCATTCAAATATGCTTCAAATGCTTCAAATGTTTGTCTCCAGAATTTGATGAATTTAAGTGTTACTTGGATGGAGTGATCCTTACATGGGGTTCATCACAAGTCTTCCGAAATGGGAGGTCAAAGGTCATCTAAAGTCATTTTATGGGGTTGTGTAAAAATGCACAAAATTTCACTTTTTTTTAAGAACACAATCCATATATGGATTGATCGCAGAAAAAGGGGACACACGTGATCTGCAGAGCACTTGTTTTCATAGAAGGTCATTTGATTAAAGAGGCACAGTAATAATTGAATACCTTTTCAGATACAATGACCCAGGCTACATCAAGTACAAGAAAGTTGAGCTGCTGGCAATACTCTGTACAAATGAGTCACTTAAAGACATCACAGAAGAACTCAGGTGAGCTAGAGGGAGTTTATGTTGATATCTTTTAAGATAACGGCATAACCCCCTTATTATTAGTAGGAAAAATAGCCTTACAGCGTTACTAGCAAAATAATCAGCAAGTGATTAATGTAAGGTGTTGGGGGAAAATAAACACACAGGTTTCCTCAGGCCAAACTCAGCAATGTCATCTTTTGCAACTACGGATTAGCCAGAATCTTCAAGGATGTTCTGGATAATTTATGACTTATTATTTTAAAGGAAATTCCTCCCACTGATGTTGTTTCTTTGTCTTTTGAATGAAGAAAACTCTTTAGCCTTAGCAGAGGTTTCTCTTTTTTCCTCTTGTGCAGTGTATATGCAACAGACGTCTCAGTCCTTCTATCTCAGTTTGCTATCAGAGCTTTGGGACAGCTTGCAAAGATGAATCCTGCATTTACCTTAACTTGCATTGAAGCCATGTGGAGTCTTCTCTTCTTAGAGCTGGACTCTGTCTCCTCTGAAATCTTAGTGGTTTTTCATGGTAAGTCCATGTTGCAGGATCGTTCTCTTCAGACTTACAATAAGATTTTCATTATGTGGTGTCAACACTTATTTTGATACCATGGTAATAGATCGTGAAATTTCATTGGTTGAGAATTATTCCCATGACGTATTGCATAAGTTCACGTTTGACAAACTGACGGACTGCGTGGAGTACATCACCTCATGTATGCCCAGTACATCACCTTGATTGTTCTTAAAACACTATTGAATAAATTTGTCACGTCTGCTTTGCAAAAAAAAAACGGCTAGAATTTACCCTGAACACAAGGTACCATAGGTAATGTCTCCTGGGGCCTGTATGTGTCAGCGTAGACCTGCAGACATGTACATTGTAACACACGCACACATACGTCTGTTTTTTCTAATAAACAAAACAAGGGATTAAAAACATCAATGACCAAAGCATTGGACTTCACAATTAGAGATGGGTAAGGTCATCAAAACGAGAAATTTTGTTTTTACAAATAATGACTTATTTATTTATACTATTATTTCCTCTAAAACTCCAAATCAATCTTGATACCATAGTGTAACCAAACAACTGTCTTTTGTGCTACAGTCCATTTGTAAACACTGCAAGATTGGTAGTCCTTGAAAGTATGTTCATATAAATATGCGAATGGACTAATGGACAACACAACGAGTATGTAGTGTGGGAACCAGTGTAGAAACAAGTAAATGGTTATTGTTTAAGAGGAAATGATTTCAGTGATAGTTACTAGAGGTTCGTGTTTGTTGTTACAAATGCAGAGTGATCGGGTAGACAACTATTTCATTAGACATTGTCCAGTTAAGTTATGAATATGTTTATGTCAGAAAAAAGGATCAAGAACTTTAACATTTCCAGTACCAAATGTTTTGTACAAAAAGAATGCGTTTTTTAGGGTATGATAAATTTCAGTAAACATTTAGGTACACGTACAAGTTCTTTCCGGTTTGATGACGTCATCAGTCAAAAAAAGGGAAGGGAGGACACTTGCTTATCACTAAAGTAAAAATAACGCATGGAAACTAAGTGTATGTGATAATAACAGCCAACTTCCGGTTTGATGACATCACAGTAATTGGAAGCAAAAGGTCACTATTAAGTGTAACATATGTCATTTTTTGGGCAAAAAACTAAGTCATGAGACAGGGATCATATGATGGATTTATATTAAAAATAAACTGATCATTGTTGAATTCTCCCTACAGTAACTTCTGGTCTGATGATGTCATGATTATGAAACCTTGCAAATTCATTTGTGGTTGCTCAGGGGATATATTGGGGCAATTTCACAAAAATTGGATTGAGGGTTGTAACATTTTAAAAGATTAAACCGTTTTTGATGTGCCGCTAGAAGGCGCCCTTTCGTGGGATGACGTCAAAATTATGTTTTTGTGATTAGCATAATCCATAATTATCCATAATGTATTTGTCTGTCGTAAAATGCTTCAAGGCACTGTGTACAACTTCACGAAATAATTGAACACGATACTCTATTGGTAGGTCAAACTTTTTTGTCAAATCGTGCCATCAAATCACTTCGCTCGTACCCCTGCCCTGCAAACAGGACGCTGGGAAGGGCTGACAAATTAACTCTCTGATTGGATAGATTTTGCGTGACCTGTGACCTGCAAGTCATCACGACCACGACCCTGCAAGGTTTGAAACGGCCGTTAAGACCATGGAGGTTAAGACTGAGTCATTCATCACTCTTTTATTCCTGGCCCATTCATGAATTAATGCGGCGCCCTTTTTTGGTCGAAAAGCATAATAATGTAGGAAAATCTGTAAAACTTATCTGTTTTGCAAATATTCAACTCCCGTCAGTTGCTCAGGCTCCGTTTCGAATTCACGAAGGGTCGAAATGCGTATCATTCGACGATCAAAATTTGTCCACATGGTCCGCAGTGAAAAAGAAATCACATCCGGTATGGTGTGTATGCATTTCTATGGGAAAGTTTTCGGATAGTATTTGCTGCAGCCAGATGCTTTATACATAGGTCATGATAAATTACCCAGAATGCCATCCCCACTTCCTTCACAAGATTCTGTGAAGCTCATCTGCCTTCCCAGCGCCCTGTTTGCAGGGCGGGGGGTAAGAGAGAATCAAATCGCTTGTAATTTGATACCTAATGACATCATGATGACATAACATTTATAACATCTTCGTCACATGGTACAAGTTCACACTAGGTTTTATGATCATACCGTAAACCTTTCGGAAGAAATTGTGCTTTGTTTTGATTTCAGGCTAATGTCTTCATTTTGAATTCATCTAACTTTGACCCTCCGGTAGAACCGGAATTAAAGGTCAAGCGAGTTCACGTACACAACAAAAAATGTTTATCAATTAATGGTCTATCTGATTACAACATTGGAACATAATTGATCTTTTTGTTCAAGAGTTATTGGTGAAAGAAGATCGTCATGTTTTTAACGAAAATCGCTTGTAATTTGACACCCAATGACGTCATAATGACGTCAGAGTAATATGCACCACTTGGGATGAGGCTCGATATATGTTGAAAGTTACAAGTTCCTATCATAAATTGGAAAAAGAAAGAAAGAAACAAAGATTAATTGTAACAACTCCAAAGAGTCGTCGGGTTGTGCCCGACCACTCAATTATGTCATATTCCTTCCATTAACCCTCTTATTGTGTGATCAGTCACAAACAGTCCAAATTTCCGTCCACTTCCTCTGCCATCCATTTGTATGCAGACTAGTAAAAAACATTAAGATAACATTCATGTAAACCACTGTGACTAGTCAAAGTCCATCAACAGACAAAAGAGGGAACTCGTAGTATATTAATCACACCCAGTCAAAGCATGGCTGTATCAAATTTACAATGGAATTCTTAACTATTAAACACAGTCACTTGATCGCTTTTGACTGCCGTTATGGCGTTATAATAAAAATCCTGCCAATATATAGTGCAATTCCAAACTAATGATCATTGCCCTTTACAATATATACCAACAAAGCATAACAACGTACAATGGCATAATCAGATAAATAGTGATACCAAAAATATGAGACATCGATCAAACAGTTGTGTTTCAGGTGACGTTGGGGAGTTTGTGGGTTAGGAGCCAATTTGATTGTTGATGGGAGGTCATTCCACAATCTAGGGACACAGATAGAGAATGACCTCAGAGAAGGCACCACAAGTGGTGTAGTATCTGTGGCTGAGCAATAGACCCTGTTGCGATGATTTGTTAAGTGAAATGCTGTCTGAGAGGTATCGGAATGAGGCCATTGAGCGATTTGTACACATGTAGAAGGATTTTGAAAATCATGCGTATTTGAATCGGAAGCCAGTGAAGTGATTGTAAGAGTGGAGTAGAGGGCTGTCGGCACAGCAGTTGGAAAATGATACGAGGGACCCTATTCTGTAGACGCTGCAGTCGTGAGATCTCAAGAGCTGCTTCAGCCAGCCAAAAGATAGCTGGCACAGTCAAGTCCAGACAGAGTCGGGGCTCTCATGACATGAGTACAAATTCCTGGTCAATGAAAAGACAGATTCTTGCAATGTTGCGTACAGTGAAATTGATTGACTGATTGAGGGCTGTAACTTGAGAGGGCATGGTCAGGTCATGGATGAGTGGAAGTTACTCCTAAATATCTCACTGAAATGGATGGGGACACATACTCATTGTCAATTGGAAAGATATAATTGATAAGCTTGGGCAAAGTGTTTTGAGAAGCAGTTATGAAAATTCAGTTTGGGAGCTGTTGAGTTTCAACTTATTTGCAGTCATCCAGTGGCTAATGTGGTCTATGCATGACCACAGCCTCCCATCAGCAGCTTTACCTGGGATGTTTAGATTAAAAGTGATGTAAAGCTGAAAGTCATCGGCGTAAATATGAAGTAAAATATGAAGTAAAAATTAGAAGTACATGATAAAAGTTTTGGGTCCAAGTATTGGATCCCTGTGGGATTCCAAATTTCAGATGAAAAACATCAGATTATGTAAAGGATAATGCCTGAGGTACGCGACATTCGTGGGTAAGATTCGCCCTCGGGCCATTCTTACCCACGAATGGCGCGTTACCGAGCGGCATTATCCGACTTAAACTCCACCCGTGACGTCCCCCTATTGTTTCTTGCGCTCCATTATTTTGCACGAATGGAGCGACTTTGTTTCATACAAAGACACAAGCTTTGTCTTATTGCGTAACTGTAAACTGCATTAGTATAAATGGAATCGTACAGAATTGTACTGCGAATAAGAATATGTTCTTACGTAACCAATACAATGCTGGATTCTAGGCGCGCTTGGTATAAATGCTAAACCCCGCCCAGGCATCATGCATTCGTTCTTGAATATGCTGATGGAAATAATGGAAATAATGGAAATAATGCCGTACGTGGAATACAGTGGAATTATAGCGTGCCAGGAAACCGTCTTTGATAGGTGCTGAAACTAGCTCCGTGGATATATCGGATGATAATTTACTGGCCGCTTCAAACTTTGCCTGGGACATATAAAAGTTCATTTTGACACTCCAAATGAATATGAAGATTGCATGTATGAGTATTAAAGGTAAGAAGTTACCCTTTTTGTCAAGTAAAAATAACAGCTAATAAAATCAAAAATTTAAATGTTGTATTTTGAGCATGATAATGTCAGATACATTAAGCTTTATTGTTTAATTTGCTAACTGATGAAGTTTATTCAGAAATCGTGTTTGCACTAAGACTGTTCTAATTCGAAGCTCTCTGTGTCGTCACTTTGCAATCGTCAATGCTACCCTGTGCCTTTTACGGCTTTGTAAGACTTAAGTGGATTTACAGGAATATGACCTTATGCTTCCGTCTAATTGTTTGACCCACTTTCTGATTTTGTTTTCTTCTAATTCTGGCATTACAGACTGTGGATAGTGTCATGAAGAGGGTCCAAACTAGCGGGCAATCTCCAGTCGGACTACTTCGTAACCAACGCAACTCGAGACTATAACTACTCATCATTGGACAAGGAAGGACGAGCTAAAACCACTCAAAATTGCAAGATTAAGATTTTGGTGCATTTTTTAAGCAAAACGGCTACAAGTCTTCCGGGTTTACATTGCACGAACTTGTGATTTTCCTTCAACTGTTCTTGGACACCATGGAAAAGACCTACACATTTTTTCAGGATGATGAGTTCTTGCCGATCAAGAATTTCTAGGACTGCATGCTAGGCATTGAAACCCAGGAACAAGATCGAGATATAAACTGTACTGCGAACCTTGTCAAAACATTTGCTTTAACTGTGAAACATTTATATCGTTGAAACGTTTATATTGTTGCATGTAACATGACTATATACGAACATTCTGTACAAGAAAAAAAATGGTACTTGACTTTCGTCTTAACACTGTAAGAAATTGTATAAGAAAATGCATAAAATTCTATTTGAGAAACGGTGAAGCATGCTGTATTAGAAACAAAAATGGTTTTTGACTTTCACGTACAGGTAGGAATGATGCCTAAAATTCCATTTGAGAAACGGTGTAGCATGCTATATAAGAAACATAAATGGTTCCTAAATTTCACGTAATCGTACGAATGATGCATAAAATTCCACTTGAGAAACGGTGTAGGACTAATGAGAAAATTCTGTGCGAAAAAAAAAATGGTTGTTGACTTACGTATTAAGCATTGTACGAAATATATAAGAAAATGCATAAAATTATCATTGAGAAACGGTGTAGTAAAGTTGCATCTGTGCAAAACTATAAGTGTGTCATTTTTGGTGTTTCTTTATTTCCCGCTCCATTATTTTGTAGGAATGGAGTGATGGAGGCTTTATTACCCTCCAAAAGAATGGAGAGGTATCGCCTCCAACGCTCCATTCGTGCAAAATAATGGAGCGCTAGGACAATAGGGTGACGTCACGGGTGGAGTTTAATGTCCTTTAATACACAAACGAAATACGACCTGTCAAGTATTATTCAAACCACTGTAGACCTTTGCCTTTTTATATCAAAGTCCTGCACAAAACGATTAAAAGAATTAATTTCGTGGTCAGAAATACTGAATAGTGGGAATGTGCATGTACAATACATGTTTGTGAGGCATGTACATGATGCGTACGTGAGTATGTAAACACCGGCAATCGTGGACCTAGGTTAGGGCACAAACAATACGTCCACGATTGACCGATAGTCATTGATTGAAATTCGTGTACAAAACCAATGAGAGCTGTTGCTAAAAAAAGTTACGAATGAGGATTAGGGACATTAGGGGGTCCACGATTGCCGGTGATTACAAAGATGTGTGGGTGAGTTTGTTTCTGCATTCAATAGGGGACGTTGAACAATGGAGGACAATAGGGTCCCCAATTCCCAAAGGTCCCCAATTTGGATTCGTGTAGAAAACATATGGGAGGTCTTCCTAAAAAGTTAGGAGTACAAACAATAGAGGGACAATAGGTCCCGATTGCAGGCAAATACACACTTGTGTGCGTGTGTGTGTGCGTCCAGAGAGGGTGGAGTGGGTATTAACCAGATAATGTTACAGTGGGTTGAGTAAAAGATTAACAATGAAATCTTGATATGATACAGATCCTGGTGGGGCATAGTAGACTTTAATTCAGGTTGGTAATTGGCCATGTTTTTTCAATGATTTTTTTTTTTTCATAGCTAAATGTCTAGAGAGTTCTAAGAAGTTTGATTGAAACTTTGTACATTTGGTTAAAATCTACACGCACTGGAATAAATTATTGAGTGACATCACCATTGGCGTCCCCCGCCCAAATATTATTAAAAGGACATGCCTCCCCCCCCCCCCATCCAACCCTCCTGCCCTCCCCTCCCCCCCCCCCCCTCTCTCCTCCCCTCCCCATAGGATTGACGGGCATGAATGTGATGTACATCAAGCTATTGGTACCTTGGGGAAGGTGTCTTTAAATGATGTGAGATCAATATGAGTCTCTCTGAGTAAATATCAAGATTTCTTACGTTGGACCAGAAAAAAAGGAAAATAGTAGGTACACACAGATGACGGTAGTACACAGGGATAAAGAAAGTACACTCATAGTTTGCCAAAAGGGACCAATGTGACTTATCTCAGACTGAGTACAATTTATGCCAAATTTGAAGTTTTGTCCTCATGCAGATATTCTAAGATATGAGAACCTGATTGACTACATCACTGGTGTGATTACGAAGTTGCCAGTTTGTGAGCATGTTGTCCAAGATCCCAGGGGGAAAACAGCTTTGGTCTGGTTGATAGCACAACATGGCAAGGTGGGTTGAACACAAATGACTGAAAATTACAACATTATCATTTTTTTTTTCATTGAAAAAATTGTACAAGTTGAAAAGTTGCCGGGAGAAAAAAATTGAATTTGTTGAAGAGCATGGACACCACATCTTCAAGACAGGTAAAATGTTTAGATGAACCCTAACTCCCTGGGGTCTTTTACTAGGAACTGGACCAAGTCCATCAAAATCCATCAATCACTGTGCGTCCAATACAAAACTATATGACATAATGGAATCCACCACTGACGCACTGGTTGACATTCATGGACTTGCTACACATGGCTTTTATCACAATAGCAGTACAAGAAGCTAGGCAAATCAATTGGATACCCCTAGCACTGCTTCAGGCCATTAGGCCCAAGTCCATCATACTCCATCAATATTTGGTCATGCTAGGCCTTCTGGACCAAGTCCCCCAAAATCCACCAAAATGGGCGGTTGGATTTTGATGGAGTTGGGGTGATTAGGGTTAAAAATGACTGCTCTTTTATATTCAGCTCCATTAACTGACACAGCAGGCAGGTTACACAGCAGGCTGGTTACACAGCAGGCTGGTTACACAGCAGGCAGGTTACACAGCAGGCAGGTTACACAGCAGGCAGGTTACACAGCAGGCTGGTTACACAGCAGGCTGGTTACACAGCAGGCTGGTTACACAGCAGGCTGGTTACACAGCAGGCTGGTTACACAGCAGGCTGGTTACACAGCAGGCTGGTTACACAGCAGGCTGGTTACACAGCAGGCTGGTTACACAGCAGGCTGGTTTAGCGCTAAACCCTCCCTCCGAGGGGGTTTAGGTTGCCGTTTTAGTGATGAGTTAAACTCAATTCGGTCTAAATATAAAACCGTTTTACAGAAACTTAAAACGGTGTCTGAACGACCCCAGTGATCAAAAGAATTGATCATTTTTTTTTAGGATCTCCTTGATGCTCCATACATTCTTGAAAGTATGCTTGATTCCTGGGAAGAAGAGCCCAGCAAGTTGGTCAAACTCAGTCTCCTCACAACTACCACCAAGCTCTTCTTTTCAAGGCCAGCTGAGTGTCAAGATATGCTGGGCAAAGTTCTGCAACGCTGCATTGGTAAGAAAAATGCTAACAGAGTTCCTTATTGAGTGCTCTTTTACAAGGTTGGAACAGTGTACACAATATGTTTGCAGCTTAAACTTTCATTAGCCTGTAAGCAAAAAAAACCCAGTCCAAAATCGGCACACCTGATGTTTGTTTCTACATGTAGGCTGTTCTGAGTAGGAATAGTCCTTGTTCAACAATCTTAAAGAGGGAAATTCTCATGGGAACATTCCAAATGTTTTAGAAACTTCCTTATATGTTTCCCAGTTATGCTTTAAAAAATATGTTTTTATGCATCTGACTAGTTCATACTTTGCTAAGATCTCCAAGATAAATATCTTGTTTGCTTTTATCCTCTCAGAATCCAGTGATGATCCTGATGTTCGAGAGAAAGCACTGATGTACTACAGACTCCTGAGCAAAGATGTACAAAAGGTATTCACTTGAGAATCAATTCTGATGTCATTATTCATAATGTTTTGTGTTTAGATTTGTTGCATCTTGTTCAAAGACTGGACATGTTTTTCTTGGGGGAATTTTAGAAATTTAAAATAACATGTACCAAAGGTTCTCAATGAAAAGTGATGTCATGATAAAGTCATGTGTTGTATGATGCTAGACTAAAGAGTAACAACTTTGTATGTTGATTAACAATACCTTGTATGTAAAACTTAAAGTGACTTCATGACAACCTCATTGTGTTATTTTTTTACAAGATTTTTGAAAAAAATTGTAGTATTAAAAATTCTTACTGTTTGTGTTGCATCATAATCATTTCACAAAACTTTCTGCCAAGTTATAAAATGGCTTAATCAAAATCCTTGTGCCACAAATACTTGTGCAAGTTACACAATGTCTTTAACTTGCGTAGGTCGGTGAAATCGTGCATACAAAATGATGATGTTTATGTTACTAAGTAGAATGCGATGCGAACATCGGAGAGCGCTCTAATATGAACATTTGTTTCGGGATCAGACCAACCCGCTTGACACATTGGATGACAAAGTCAGTCATGCAAGATTCAGATTCTTCCACAAGAAAATATGTTCAATTCAAGAAGAATTGTGTGAGCTCTTACAACTAAAGAAAAACCAAATAATTTTGTAATATAACTTGTGTAAACTGACATTACATTGTACAATTGGTGAATGACAATTACATTGGTCAAGGCCCGCGTGGCTATACCCGCACACATGGCGGCCCGGATGCTGACACACACAAAAACAATGCGAGTGGCGAAGTTACAATCGCCTTTATAATCTCATGGAGATCGCCTTTACTATCTCATGGAGAGCGCTTATGTTTTTCTTTACATTTATCTACTGATTTGCCAGAGAAATTGTGTGTAATGTGGGAGAAGCACGAAGCATATTTTGGGAGCAGGTGATTAATGTCATGGTCGACATTCAAGCGGCGCTTTTTCAAAAGCTCTAGATCTGTAACCATGGGAGATATTACCATAACATTTGTCGAGGGTGTGCTATCCTCTTGTTGGAATGTTAACATATTGGTGATAGTAGGGCATCACTACATCAAGACTACAGCTATTGAAGTCTCCCATAATAAGTTCAACTGCGTCTGGGGATTGCCTTTCCAGCTTCTGAGTGGTTCCTGCGATTATAGATGCCGCATTGTTAACATCTGCTTGTGGTGGGATATAGACAATGCTTACAAACAACTGTGGGAAATTCTCTGGGAAGATAGTATGGCCACAGGCCAACAGTCAAAAGTTCGATGTCAGGTGAGCAAAGGCGTTCCTTGACACAAATGTTATTGCCCTTTTTTTGATTAATGTAGATGCAAACTCCGCCTCCCAAAGTTTTCCCTGATTCGTGGTTTCTATCTACAATCCTGGCCAAATCTCGCTGGGCCTCCAACCCCCCCGTCCCACGTTCAATGTTGTCTCTCATTGCGCGGTGTGTGCTCCATCAGCTGGAGAGAACAACATTGACCGGGGGAGCGGGGGAGTGGGTGAGCGTGGCAGGCTCAGGAAGTGTCCCAACCATTTTGGCCGGGATTGTAGGCGTTCACAAACAAAGCCAATATCTGAAGCGCTAACAATGTGAAGCACATTACACTGCAGTCTCTATACACTTGCAAGTACTTCACATTTGAAGCCAGTTCGTCTAGTTTATTGCACAATGATTGCACATTACCTGTGATGATGGTAGGCAATGGTGGGTTGAATCTGCGTCGTCGAAGACGAACTCTTAGTCCACCTTTTTTTGCCCCATTTCGTAGATTTGAAAGCAGGTCTTCAGGAATGTCAATATTAGGTGGGGCAATGGCTGCTGGCAACCCGTGCAATATCAACAGCTCACTGCGTTCATACACAATACGTGCGCGTTGTAGAGGCCACTCACATGCAAATGTTGTTGACTCAGTATCGGCAAAAGTCTTCACAAATTGCAGGAAATGGACACAAACACGACAAATAACGAAGCATAAGTTGTTCTGTGTGCCATCTTACATCGGTAGAAATCAGTTTTTGCAGTCAAAACAACAGAAAACAGCAAAAAATACGCAAAATTAAAATGAAATTCTGGAGCTTCGTACACTGGGTGGTCATCGGGGTGCAGCGCCCTCTATCATGAACCTTGATAGGTAGCTTGCTAGTGGAACCTTAGAGCAACTTAATGAGTTTGGACCCCATAAGACAAAGGTCAGGGCCATTATGGATAAAACAATAGAAATGGATTTCCCACCATGACACAAACAAGAGTGGTCATATCAACTTCAAAGTTGGTAGTTTGGTTAGTCTGGGGGTCTTACGAAACCTGTCACTTTTTGGAGGCCAAAGGTCAAGATTGTTGTGATTAAAACAACAGAAATCTTCTCAGCATACACATGTAACTCAAGAAAACTTGGCATATCCACTTGAGACTTAGTACATGTATGTGCAGCTGCGTGGGTTGTTCTTACAATTGCCAGTCACTTTTGGACCCCATAGGCCAAATGTCAAGGTTCTAATTATTAAACACAAAAGAAATAATGTCATCATGACAACTCAATTTAATTTGATTATTAAAACAAAATATTTTCCTGTAGGTCTTCGTCCAGGCATTTTGCACAAAGGATTTGCCTTTGAGAAATGTCTTGCTTATTACTGAAAATGTTAGGCCAGCTAATTTTGTTGGTTTGTGTAATTCAGGCCAATCATAGTCAGTTAACAGTTTGCAGTAGCTTAATTGCATACTATATTCACTATTTGTATGTGATATTTTAAGTGTATCCCACATTTTCATACTACCTACTGGTCTTTTCTCCGTTTACTAATTACATGTATTTCTTATACAGGATCTATTCACCTTTGCTCACTCTTTAAATCACATACAATGACTTTCCAACAGAAAGACAAAACAAATATGTTTTGTATCCAAATAGTAGCGCAAACAGAAAAAAACAAGTCCTTTTTATAATATTTTGCTGAGCAGCTTGATATCCTTAGAAACAGTCACTTGCTTTCCATTGTTAGCTAGTAAGTACAAGTTTGATCATGCATAAAGTATGCCAAATGTAGCACAATGCAACACAAATGTTCAACAATGTCCAAACGTTTGTGCAATTACTCTCAATTTCTGATTTGCACTGAAGAGCAATCCTGTCTTTGCTTTGCAGGCTAGAGATATCATCTGCACATCTCAACCACATTTGGGGATTCTACCAACTGATGGAACCAGCTCATTGTCATCCAATCTTCAGCATTTCAACTCTGTAGCTTTACTCTTTGGTAGTAGCATACCAATTGATAATATTCAATTAAAAATCCATTTAAATAAAACAGAAATTTCATGATAAAACTTTCCGGTTCCATTTGATACCTCACCTGGGAACACTGTGTGTAACGAGAGCGGTAGTGCTGAAGCTCCTGAAACCCCAAAACTCAAAGTTGCTTTTAGCGAGATTTTCAATGGGCACTGCAAACCACAATTGAATGCGGGGCCTGCATCACTGCATTCAATTGAAAATCTCGCTAAGTGCAAGTTTTGGGGTTTCAGGAGCTTCAGTGCTTGCGCTTTTGTTATTTTTTACAGAGTTCCCAATTGAGGTATCAAATTTAACCAGACATTTCGGGGGCAAAACGTTTATTTTGGATTTTAGTTCAATGAGAAATGTCCAACAATAATGATTATACAGGGTGAGTAAAAAAAAACGAAACCCAAATGTGGGGACCATTGTTTTAGTGAAGTTCTGCATGTAGCACTTTCAAAATCTATCATATGAAAGCCCAATTCATAAGTTTTCTTTTAGTACAAGAATCAGTCAAATCACTCGTATGCTTTTCTGTATCTGTATCTGTATCAGTTGCTCCAGCTAAACAGTAGAATCCGCATCCCGCTAGAGTTGGGGCGGCTGTGCTGGAGCTAGTTGACTTGGGTTTTGGTTCCCTCCCCAATGACGTGGTCTACTAAGGCTTGTTTAAACTGGTTTAAGTCGGGTATGGTGATGATAGTGTTTGGCAGGTCGTTCCAGATGGGGATCGTTGACGGGTAGAAACTGGTGCTATAGAACTTGGATTTAGCGTTGGGTCGGTGGTATGAAAACTGGTGCGAGCTCCTAAGGGTTTTTGTTTTGGGCCTAAGGTCGTGTTTGACTTCAACGAGGTTGCGAGAGATCTTGTACATCATGATTAGTCTAGCAATGGAGCGACGTGTTTCAAGTAGAGGCCAACCAAGCTGGTTCAACATATCTGTGACACTGGCAAGCCTGGTGAAGTTGTTACAACACATCCTGGCAGCGTATCTCTGGATACCTTCAATTTGGTTTTTTTCTTCCTCAGTGAAGGTGGCCCAGCCGCAGACACCATACTCTAGTTTGGGGCGGGCGAGAGACTGGTAAAGTTGGGATTTAACCTTTCTGCTACAGGATTTGAAGTTTCTTCTGATGATGCCAATGGTCTGCCTAGCGTTGTTGGTAATTTTGTTGATGTGAGACGACCAGCTACAGTCAGCACTCAGGATGAGGCCAAGATATGGGTGATTGGTAGTAGTTTGGAGAGGTCTCTGGTTGATTTTGTACGTACTGATGAGTGGATCCTTTTTGGTGGTGATATGCATGACAAGGCATTTGTCTGGATTGAATTTCATTTCCCATTCCCTCTCCCATCTGCACAGAGCATCCAAATCGTTTTGCAGGGATGTAGCGTCAGATGTTTCTTCTACTTCTCTGTAAAGTATGGCGTCATCAGCGAACAGTCTGATTTTCGAAGGAACATATGAAGGGATGTCATTAACGTAGAGGAGAAACATCAGGGGTCCCAAGACAGTGCCCAGGGGGACTCCAGATAAAACTTCAGCTGTTGTAGAACTTTTACCCTCCAGGACGACTTGCTGGGTACGTGTTGTAAGGAAAGTTAAAATCCACTTGTGCACATTACCGGTGATGCCATAGTGCCACAGTTTGGTGAGAAGCCTCTGATGTGGGACGCGATCGAACGCTTTCGAGAAATCAAGTAATATTGCGTCAACCTGTTTGCCTTTCTCGATTGATTTAGCTATGTCATCAATAATAATGAGGAGTTGAGTGTCACACCCTCTGCTTTTTCTAAACCCATGTTGACAGTCTGTCAGAATCTGGTACCGCTCAATGTGGAACATTATATGACGATGGATGACGTGCTCAAGACATTTACATACCACTGATGTTAGTGATATGGGGCGGTAGTTACTGGGGTCACTTTTACTGCCTTTTTTGAAGACAGGAGACACATTGGCTGTAGTCCAGTCATCTGGGAGGTCACCAGATTTTAAGGATTGGTTAAACAGCCCTGCTAGTAGTGGTGCCAACTCCACGCTGCATTCCTTAAGGATTTTATTAGGAATGTTATCTGGTCCCGAAGCCTTGGAGGGGTTCAAATAACGAAGAAGTTTCTCGATACCCTCGCCACGATCTCAAGTGATTCAATGTCTGGAACAGACTGCTGTAGGTTAGGGAGGTTGGATGTGTTTTCCTTGGTGAAAACTGATTTGAAGAAGGAGTTGAGAATGTTTGCCTTCCCAACTTGGTCTGAAACGGTGTCAGTGCCATTCTTCAGTGGATGGACGCCTACATTGTCAGTTCGTTTTGATTTGACATATTTCCAGAACTTTTTTGGGTTATGTTGGAGATCTTCCTCAAGCATACTGGAGATATATTGCTGGTGAGCTCTGTTGAGGTTTCTTTTATACATTTTCTGGGCGCTTCTGAACAGTATGGAGTCCTCAGCAGAGTTAGTTTTCTTCTGTTTATTATACATACATTGAAGCTTTCTGCTTTGACGACGGAGCGCAGGAGAAAACCATGGCAAGTTAAATCTCGTTGAGGAGTACTTGGATGGGATGAACTTTTCAGTAAGTGCGTTGAGGGTGTCCCTCAGAAGAATCCAATTTTCATTAACTGTCCTTAGATTCAAATCATGGAGAAAATTTTCACCAAAGTTCTTCAAATCAAGTTAGTTACGGAATTTTAAACAAAACCACTATTTTAATGTTCTGTCAACGGATTACAAGAAGTAAGTGTTCTTTCAGCAAAACGAAAACAAATCACATAGGGATGTGTGTGAATTGTTTTCATTTTGCTGAAAGAACGCACACCGTTTTTGTGATATGTGGACAGAACTTTAAAACGGTGGTTGTGTTTAAAATTCTGTTATTTAAAAAGTACATGGAGTGATTTGAATGATTTTTGTACTAAAAGAAAGCTTACGAATTGGGCTTTCAAATCCTAGATTTTGAAAGTGCTACTTGCAGAACTTCACTAAAGCAATAGTCCCGACACTTGGGTTTCGGATTTTTTAACTCACCCTGTATAAACTAGTTTCTTATTGTACCAGTTTATATGCAGAGCAGCACTGAGTACATGAAGTAGTCCATCAGTTTTGTAAAGTGTACACCACCATCCAAGCCCTGCTGTACAATTCAAACAATTACCCCTCCGATGTCTACACGGTCTGCAGTATGTTATCACCAGTCACAGACCCATCCCACCCCCAAGAGTAACCATCTAATGAAAATAGAGTGTTAATTATAGATAAACTCACCTCGCTAGTGACAACCATTGAATCAAGGCTGCCAGACAATTTGGTCTCTGATTGGCTGGATCTGTTTGTGTTTCTTGCTTGATGAATGTAATACATTCACATGCATGTATGTCCAAGAAGGCTTGGGTTGGATCAGACATGTAGCTGGAGCACATCTAAGCCATAATTAGACCAAATTAGACCAACTGTTTACTGTGATCCACCATGCAGAAGACAGAAGTTGACAGCTTTGGTCAAAGCTAGTTGAAACTCAAGTTCAACTTATAGTTTTATCACTCGAAGACTATGAAGCTATAAGCTTTATTCACGAGTCGGCCATATTTAACTGAAAGCGAGGTAAAATTGTTTTTGGAAGTTGCGAAGAGAAATAAAAGCAATGACATAAAGTTAATTACAAATTAATACCAGTCTGCCCTGGTGAATAATTTAAAATGTGTGATTAAACATACCCTAATGTTTTAAGCCACATTTAAAATCAATGAAAGTGAGGCTAGAATGCTAAATAGTGTGTCACCATCCCATTCAACAGTTCACAATTTATAATGTACACTCGGGGAACATGACCAAAAATGACTTCCTCCTGAGTAAGGTCCGTAGCTGTAGATCAAATTCCATCCAATACTACCAGACATTGGAAAGTGTTGTGTTTATGGGTCCTTTCAAACCAGTAAATAATGGAACGAACTCACCGAGTCTTCACAGGAACTCGTGGCATGGGCGCCGCCATTTTAATACACACTGTAACTCATGGAACGTGTAGTTGGTGTCCCTCACAGAACGTATCATAATGCATGGACATACGACATCTCCCCCCTTTAAGCTGTCAACAAACAAAACTGGTTAAACACATTAACAATGAACAATAGTTAACAGTAAATAAATGGCAATGCTTTCTGGCATTAAAACATATGTTGTGAATGCTGCTGTGAAAGTGTGTTCAGTTAAGGTTGTTTAGGTCTGAAATTATGTGAGATTATTCAAGTGCCAAAATCCTGAAATTGTCCAGATTTGTGAGCAATCTAGAGTTCAGTTCTGTGGAGTGTAGAGTTCAATGTTCCAGTTTAGTGCCAGGTTTAGTACACCACATAATCCTGGTGCCAGCGTGGAGGTTTTCCTGTGCGTCGTGGTCTGACTGTTGTTGTTGGCTTGGGATTCTGTGGGTGAATTGGGTCAGGTGGGGTCTGGACTTCAAGAACTGGTTCTGGTTCTGGGATAAGCAGCAAGTGGCGACGGTTACGACGATACTCGACGCCCTGAACGTTGACAATGTAGGAGCGTGGGGGACCTGCTTTTCGAACCACCTCACCCAACGGACTCAGATGTGTTTTGTTGCGGATCCGCACCGTGTCACCTGGTTTCAGCTCACACAGATTACGGACGCCATGCTTCTCGTTGAAGTAAGACTCGCTCTTGGCCTTACGTTGCTTGTCGGCTGCCTTCAACTGGTGCGTGTTGATCACCTTGGGACGGAGATTGCGAGGGAGTGTTGGCAATGTTGTGCGTAGTTCGCGACCCATCAGCAGGCGTGCAGGACTAAGGTTGAGGCCTGGGATTGGTGTGGATCGGTAGGTCAGCAATGCTCGCAGAGGATCAGGCTGCCGGAGCATGGATTTAGCAATGTGGACTGCCTTCTCGGCCATTCCATTCGCCTGAGGGTAGTTTGGGCTAGATGTGAGATGTTGGATGTCATACTCAAATTGGTTGAACTCGGTCAGGAACTGTGGCCCATTATCGGTGACGATAACCTCAGGAATGCCAAAACGGGCGAAAGTGGCCTTCAAAAAGTTAATGACGGCCAACGACGTTGTTGTCGGGAGATGATGGACCTCAATCCATCGCGAAAAGTAGTCGACTAGGACTATGTAGTGTCTCCCATTGACCTCTGCCAGATCACAGGCAAGACGTTGCCAAGGTCGTTCAGGAAGCGGAGTCGAGATTAGAGGTTCCGCTCGCTGTGCTGACTGCTTGGTCTGACAGAAGGAGCATTTCTCTATGTACTGGGCAATGTCGCTCCCAATACCTGGCCACCAAACGGCTTGAGCAGCTCGGGCTCTGGACTTTGATATTCCCTGGTGACCTTCGTGGATCCTCAACAGCATCTCTTGGCGCATATTTGCCGGGATGACGATGCGGTCGCCATGGGTGAGGATCCCCTGGACGAAGCTGAGGTTGTCTTGGTTCTCCCAGTAGAGCTTCACTGTTGTTGATTCAATGTCGCGGGAGTACTTTGGCCAGCCACTGCGAATGTGTGATGCGACTTGCACCAGCACTTCATCGAGGGCAGTTTCACGTTTGATCTCGTCCAATTTCCTCTGGGAGACTGGCCAGTGGCTTGTGACCATATGGACATGTGCTTCAACTTCGTCTGGAAGGTTGTCGCTTTCAGTGACCGATGACTTCAAGGGTGCGCGAGACAGGGTATCGGCCACAGTGAGGAGTTTGCCAGGTACGTACTCTGCAGTGCAGTGGTACTTCATGAGACGCATAAGAAGTCATTGACACCTCAGCGGAGCGTCACACAGATCCTTATTGTTGATGAGTGGAACCAGCGGTTTATGGTCAGTCTGTATGGTGACGTGAAGGCCTCGAAGGTATACGTAAGACCTCTCGCACGACCACACCGAGGCCAACAGCTCTTTCTCTATCTGCGCGTAGCGTCGTTCAGATGGAGTGAGGCTTCTTGAACAGTACGCCACTGGCTTCCACTGTTTGTCATCTTGTTGCTGCAGAATACATCCACCCAGTCCGTATTCGCTTGCATCAGCGCTAACCATGGTCGGCTTATTTGGATCATAGAAAGCGAGTGCAGGAGCTGATGTTAGGAGTGTCTTAATGCTGCGAAAAGCTGACTGCTGTGGTGATCCCCACACCCAGCTGACATCACTCTTCAGTAGGTCATTAATTGGTGCAGCGACTGAAGAGACATGGGGAATGAATCGCGCAAGCCAGTTGATCATCCCCATTAGTCGTTTGACTTCGGTTTTGGTGGTTGGCGGTGGCATTTGGATGATCGCTGCTATCTTTGCAGGGTCGGCATGGATGCCGTCTTTATCAAGCTTCATGCCGAGGAAGTCGACCTTTGTTTGGGCGATTTTGCATTTGTCCTTGTTCAGCTGTAGTCCAGCGTTCTGCACAATTTCGAGAATGCGCTGGAGTCTTTCATCGTGTTCTTCTTTTGTGCGACCGGTGATCAGTACGTCGTCCATGTACACCACGACCCCGGGTATGTCGGTTAGAAGGTCGCACATGATGCGTTGATATATTTCTGGTGCCGATGTGATGCCAAATGGAAGGCGTTTAAAGCAGTAACGCCCGAATGGTGTAATGAAGGTAGTGAACTTCTGGCTTTCCTCTGTCAGTGGTACTTGCCAGAAGCCATGCTTGGCATCTAGCAGGGAGAATATCTGGGCGCCAGCGACTTTGCCGAGGACTTCTTCGACGGTTGGTATGGTAAACCTCTCCCTGACAACTGCTTTGTTCAGTCGTCTGAGGTCTACGCATAGGCGAATGTCACCATTCTTTTTCGGCGCTATCACAATAGGCGAGCACCAATCTGTGGGGTCAGTGATACGCTGAATGATGTTCTGTTGCTCCATCCTCTCCAGCTCCTCTTTCAGTTTGGGCATGAGAGGAATGGGGATACGACGAGGAGTCATGACGCAGTAAGGGGTGGTGGCTTCGTCTACCTTGATGCTAACTGCTTGTCCATGCAGACATCCACCCCCTTCAAAAACACTCTCATGGCTGAGTAGAGTGTAGACTCTGTGGACCAATCCAAGCGAGTCACAGGCATGCTTGCCTATGACTGGTTCTCCCTGAGGCAAGATGAGGAACAGCAAGCTTTGAGTTTTGCCCTTGACTTGGCAAATGAGTCTGGTCTGGCCGATTGGTGTGGCTTTTCCCCCGAAGAATCCTGTAAGGCGAGTGGAGGACGGCTGTAGGGTCTTATCGGGGACATTCAGCGCGTTGAAGATGTCAAGCGGGAGGATATTGACCTCAGAGCCTGTGTCAAGTAGGAATGACACAGTCTGTCCATGTACATGGAGGTCCTGTCTCCAAACGTCATCGATGGGCAGTTGCTGTCGGCGTATGGCACCAACAAAGAACTCGTTCTCTGCAAAAGTACAGGTTTCATCCTCTTGTTCTGGATCTGTCTGGAGAACTGCTCGCATCTGTTTGGGCCTTGATCGGCAGACTTTTGAAAAGTGGCCGATCTTATTGCAGCTCTTACAGTGTTGTCCCTTGGCAGGACAAGTTCTATGGGTTGAGGCGTAGCCGCAATTCTGGCAAAGGGGACCACTCAGTCTGGGGTACGAGGATCGCTGATCCCTTCTCATGGGAGGTTTGGTGGAGCGTTGCTTCTGGCGCTGCTGCACCTGATGGACTGCCTGGACTGTAGTAGTATTACTATCTCCCCGGGCCTTAATGTCCTGCTGATCCTTTGTGGCTGTTTCAAGCGTTTTGGCAAGTTCGGTGGCTTTGGAGAATGTCAGGCCATCTTTGGTGAGCAAGTGTTTCTGGATGAACAAACTGCGTATGCCGCAAACTAGCCGGTCGCGAAGGGCATCATCAAGAAAAGAACCGAATTTACACGGTCCAGCCAAGGTTTGCAATTCCACAGAATACTGTGCTACAGTCTCACCAGCATTTTGATTGCGCTGATAAAACCGGAATCGTTCAGCAATCACCAGTCGTTTGGGCCCGTAGTGCGATTTGAGCAGAGTACACAGTTCAGCGTAAGTCTTTTCAGTGACTGCCACAGGTTCAGAAAGGCTCTTCACAGTTTTGTACACATTTGCTCCGATACAACTCAGCAGAACAGCAGACTGCTTGGCTGGAGAAATGTCATTGGCCTTGAAATACAGGTCCAATCGTTCGAGGTAGTTGGTGATTTCTTCTACTTGGTCATATGGATCGAGCCGTCCGATCAAAGCTGAACTATAGGGCGCCCCCTGTGACTGCGACATGATCGATGTACGTTAGACACACGTACGAACGTGGCGAATCGGACGAAAAATAACGGTTTGTTTTGCCACAAAATGTCCAACTACCTGACGTGATATAGTCACAATGTCACTGACTATGTCCGCAAACATTTACTGGGACCACCGCTGCCACCATGTTGTGTTTATGGGTCCTTTCAAACCAGTAAATAATGGAACGAACTCACCGAGGCTTCACAGGAACTCGTGGCATGGGCGCCGCCATTTTAATACACACTGTAACTCATGGAACGTGTAGTTGGTGTCCCTCACAGAACGTATCATAATGCATGGACATACGACAGAAAGCATTGCTAATAAGGGAATAAATGTGTGCTCCGGAGGTTTTTATCACTCTGTTTAATACCACTTAGAGTCTGGGTGCTGATAATTACCCGAGCCGGAGGCGAGGGTAATTATCAGCACCCAGACTCTAAGTGGTATTAAACAGAGTGATAAATACCGACGGAGTACATATTTATTCCCATTCATAAATACCTTTTCGGTAAAAAAAAATCATATAATTCGTTCAAAACATCCCGATTTTGTTCAACAAATTCACTTTATGCTTTTTGAAACATCCCTCCTGCAAAATAATGGAGTGTTCAGCTGGCGAGTAAGATGAAAACAACCCTTTTATGGAGATTGACGCGCGCGTATCATGTTCTACGCGATGTCGCGCAGAACGCACCTGGCGCATTGCGTTTTGAATTTTGAACTATAAAATTCTAACTCCCTGGTAGTGTTGCGCATGCCTACGTGAGGATTGTGAACGTTCAACCAATGAAACGATAAGAGGCACTGGATTTTTAGGAGTCCACATTTTATTGTGACACTGGAAAAGTGTTTAAGACCAGCTAGCCATGTCTTTATCATCCGTTTAATACCGGCCACGTGACGGGCTGTCGACCAATAGGAATGGCTAAACTGTCTGAGGTATTTATGAATTAAATATAAGTACCTATCTTTAAGAACTCTCTTTATGTCCACAGGGGCAGACAAATGGCAAGAGGTCCAGCAATCTAAACTCATTGGAAAATCCAAGGTCTACTCCCAGTCACTACACCCAGTGACTGTATCAAAACCTGATGAAACTGAGCTGTGCATGCCCGAGACAAGTCAACTGCTTGACCTGAATGAGGTAACAACTGAGATCAGATCAGACGTGACCTCGCAAGTTGTATCTGAGATCAAGTTTGCTCCAACCATCAGCTTGTCACCTGAGGAATTTGAGGGGAAATGGATGTTATGGAAAAGCAGGTATAAATGATCATAACATACTTATGGACTTACAATGGGATTTGTGTGTGAAATGACTACTATCTGTCTGTCCCAACTCGGCTGAATGATGGCATGTCCCAAGTAGTAATAGTGCATGTGAACGGCATCAGGTCAACTCGGACCCAAACCAAGTCGGACCCATGCCAAGTCGGACCCACGCCAACTCGGACCCACGCCAACTCGGACCCACCACCAACTCGGACCCACTACCAACTCGGACCCAAGACCAACTCGGACCCACTACCAACTCGGACCCAAGACCAACTCGGACCCACTACCAACTCGGACCCAAGCACGACCAACTCGGACCCAACAATGACTTAATCATTAATTTCAGAGATTATATTTATAGGTCATCTTAATGTTACAGTGCTTATATAGTGAAGATATTCTGTAATTATATTGGTCAGAATTGGGCTTTTAGTTTTGTTGTTTGATCATACTACGTTGATTTTGCTCTCTTATTACTCATTCACTTTTTTTATGTAACTTTTCTTTTATAAATATATTATGGAACCCGACATGTATTTCCAAGCTCTATCGATTACCCGAAAAATCCGAATTTGTCCTGCCCACATCCAAGTTGTAATTGATTGTTTTTTTTAATAATTCACATGCTGTCCTTGAAGTTTGTGGGTTTTTTATACGACATTGTTTAATTTTTCATATTGTTTTTTTTAATAACTTTTTTTTTATAAATATATTATGGAACCCGACATGTATTTCCAAGCTCGATCGATTACCCGAAAAAAATCAGAATTTGACTTTTTATACTTCATTTATTATGGAACCTTCGTTTTCCTTGAAGTGTATGCAATGGTGTTTATGGATTTTTTTTTAAATACATGTACATGTAGAGATTAGAATAGACTTTGTTTTTATACCTTATTTATTTTATTTAATGGCTTATAATGTTTACTTATATTTATTGAATTAATAATGTCATGTTTGAAAGTGTTCATGTTTCAATGTCATACTTTCCAATTTATTTTTCTATGAAGATCTGTTCTCAATTTATGTGGTTGAATTAAAAATGAAATAAATTGCTGTTAAATTGAGCAAGATGGCGTGAATGATGTCAAATATGAAAATGAATAATTGGTTAAACTTTAATTTTAATTACTTTCGGTTAAAGCGCAATATGTTTCAATGGAAACAAATAATAAAAATAAATAATTAATTACACTTTTAAAGCGCATTTCAAAATAGCATTTCAATGGGCTTTACAACCACGACAAACTGCTGCAATACAGATATTTTACCTGACGACTACAATGAAAATTTATACTGAACAGCATGATAAGTCATTAAGTGGACAAATTTCATGAAATTGTCGAATGATTGAAAACGCTGTCGAATGATTGTAAACGATGGGTCCGAGTTGGTCATGCATGGGTCCGAGTTGGTAGTGGGTCCGAGTTGGTTGTGGGTCCGAGTTGGTAGTGGGTCCGAGTTGGTAGTGGGTCCGAGTTGGTAGTGGGTCCGAGTTGGCGTGGGTCCGAGTTGGTAGTGGGTCCGAGTTGGCATGGGTCCGAGTTGGCTTGGGTCCGACTTGGTTTGGGTCCGAGTTGGATCGAAACCATGTGAACTGGTTACGACATGGCAAAATAACTTTTATTTATTGTTCAACTTTCTAGACGTCAGTTGAAGGTATACAAAAGCAGCGGCATTTGCAAATGAATGACATTTTCAAGTGATTGTGCCAGAGTATTGAATGCTGTTGAATGACAGAATGGTGCTGAAGTGCCCTCAACAAACAACACTCTTCGCTCTCTTTTTTTTACGTCTGTCAATGGCAAAACTCAATATCTAAAATTACATCAAAGTGAAGAGTTGTGCTGTTCCAAGTGTAGGTTTTTGCATGCAGAGTTTTGGTTTAAACCCTTTCCAAGTTCATGATGTATGAATATTTTCCCGTCATTTCTTTTGGAATTAAAGGAAATGATATGATTTATTTTTAGCAAACAGCAGCAACTTCCACTGTTGGAGTCAGTACCTCCAAATGATATCCAAGATCGCTTGGCAGGATTAGGCTGGCAAGCCATGGCAATATCCCCAGAAGGCTCGGACCCTTGGAAGGCATTCCTGTATGCAAAGGTAGGTAGGATTTTTTAACCATAAAAGTGTTGGGTGTTATTTCATTTTTAGCAGTATATTGATCATTTTTTGGTGTGAATTTGTCTTTGTTGCTGCCTCTGTACAATAGTTTGGTTGTTTTTAAACATATTTACTATGGGCTCCGTGCGCCAACAAAGAGGGCGCGTTTTTACTACTTTGAGAGCCCCTTGGATGGGAGGGGTCCGCTCATAAGTCCGACGCCTCATAGGTCCGACGCCTCATAAGTCCGACAAAATCGCATCCCCTAACCAAATAAAGGCCCATAAGTCCGACGCCTCATAGGTCTGACGCCTCACAAGTCCGACGTCTCATAGATCTGACGCCTCATAGCTCCGACGCCTCATAGCTCCGACGCCTCGTAAGTCCGACAAATTGAACATTTCGTTTTTCCGTTGTCGGACTTATGAGGCGTCGGACCTATGAGGCGGAATAAATAAATGTTATGCCTCATAAGTTCGACGCCTCATAAGTCCGAAATTTCTGACTTATGAGGCGTCGGACCTATGAGGCGTCGGACTTATGATACGGCCCCGGATGGGACACCGCTTGTGCATACTGTACTGGTTTGCACGTGAAATATGCATATAAATGTAGATAGAGCCTATATTTTGGGGGTTAGCCGGGTGGATCCAGACATTTTTGCAGGGTGGCGTGCTGAAATGTAGACTGTTTTTTTCTCTGGACTCTTTGCCCTCCAAAAATCAATTGGGGGTGGGGGGAGGCCTAGTACCATATTTTCAATGGGGAGCACTGATAAAATCCTACAATCATGCACACTATATTAGGTAATAGTGTACAAATACACCCTTCTCAAGACTGGTGTTTTTAGGGGGAGGGGGCGTTTGCATATACGTCATCTAACATTTGCTACTGCCATTTTTTTTTGGGGGGGGAGGTTTTGGGGGGTATAAAGCCTTGGTTTTTTTTGTTTACATCTTATTCTGTTGACACTGTAACATACATTTTATTAGCCTGTTTAATTAGAGTCTCTCAAAAAATAGTTTAGCAAGTCTGCCAAGTTGCCTTTAAGGCAACGTTAAATGCTCACTCTTCCATGAACTTGTGGTCATGTTTTTGTTTGCAGGAGGCAAACACTGATCAGCTTTACCTAATGGAGGTTAACCTACATTCAGAGACTGACCTCCTGACCTTTGACATTAAGTGCCAGGAAGATCAACAGTGGGTGACATCTGCGGTAATGAAATTAATTCTTGATGCTGTTTCTTGAAGGCACTGCACTTCTCAGTGAACATTATGCAATATGACAAAGTTGGACTTCATTTGACATTATCTGAGACCGAGTGATTCCCAATTACAATTCCCCATATGTGCAGCACTGCTACTCATAGTGTGATCCTGGCTACACAAGAAAAATGACCAATTGAGAGACCATGGCATTTGAAAGCTCAGGTGACAGAGAACTGATGCAGCATCCTTGAAAATACAGACTCAATGCCAGCCTGTATTCATATTTTTTATTCAACTAAACATTTATTGAAACTGAATCTAGTCATTGTTTCTCATGTGATTTTTGTTAATCTTGGTTTCTTTTGCCCCTTTTTTGTCCTGCGTTAAACTATCTCTGATACAAAGTGGCTTCACTCATGTAAGACATTTGTTTCACAAAAATCTTTCAAGAATTAAATGATTAGCTTAATGTTCAGTTGATAGATACAAAGAGTGTTTTCAGAAACCTAGATTATTTTCCACTTTGTTTGATGAATTTTATGTTTTAAAATGTTAAGTGCAGTAAAAATTTAAAGAAAGCAATGCAGCACAAATAAAGTTTTCTTAGAAGTCCATGACATGGCCTACTGAAAATATATAATGCCATACCATGTGTATAGTTTGTAATCATAATCATAAATAATACTGAATATACTAATAACAACAGGCATTCCCCGCCTAATTTCAGGTTCTTGTTGTGCATTTTTATTAATGTGACTTTGCTAATCCAGTTGCTACTGCAGTTTGTTTGTAGATTCAGCCTTTTCATTACGCGCCCTGACTGAGTGAGGGCAGATCGTTGTTCCTGGATGATACATATGAGTAGACATATTGATTTGTACTGAACTCGCATAACAAATCCTGTCCTTGGTCAGGCCATTCTGTGCAATGAGTCTATTTAGAGTTCGCCTCATTCATTTAATAAATTTGGAGATCTGTCATTAAGCACTATTGATATTAGAATTTTCGATAAAATAATTGATATATCGGAAATCCAAAATCGAGAATATTCTATATATCGATTATCCCATGTAAAAGTTAAAGGGAAAATACACCATTTGCTAACATCAAAAAACAAAACTACCAATTTACTATGAAAAATCTAACTGAACTATCGTGAATGACAGTCTAAAGCATTCTGTAAAATCTTGGCACCTGGTGTGCTGTCATTTTCAACAAAAGTGGTATTTTTGTATCAAAGACGGACCAGCGTTGGACTTTTTGTCTCGCCTGAACAAGTTCGGGAAAGAGACCATGAGATCACTTTTTTGTGTTCGTATGTCCGTCCATATGTATACCACTGATCTCTATTATACTGACTGGATAGCGCTTCAACCATTATGCGTGTGCACAAGACCGTGACGCCCTCGCACACACGCGGTGGCCATTTTGAAGCTCCCTCAAAAGCCCCACAACGCACGGATCGGTATATAAAAAGCACAGAATTATAACAGTTTAAGAAGCGATTTTTGATCGTCAAACACGTTTTCATTTATTCATTTTGCCCACAGTGCTATATTACTCATGTTAATATTTGTTCAAATATATAATTTTATTTCATTTGCATATATGTTTTTAAGTGACCAAAAGGAGTGTCAAAATGGCATCCAGTGACTTCACCCCACGGCGTGAAGCGCCATCCAGTCGGTATAATAGAGATCAGTGATGTATATGTATGTCCGTCCATATGTATGTGGTGTTTTGGTTAAAGTTTCGAAAAAATTGTCTCATTTGAAAAGTTCCAAGTCCAATTGGAACCAAACTTGAGTCATAGATGCAACATGGCAACCTTGGCAAGGTCCAAGGTCATCTGAGGTCAAGCTGTAAAATAGGCTGAAAATGTAAAATTGGTCTCATTTGAAACCGGCAAGACGCGTGGTTCGAGAACCACCTTGTTTCAAATACTGCCTCCAATTTTCCATATTTTGTTAGTCCGCATTTTTTTTGCAAACGATTACATACTTACGAACGGGTACAAGCCAGCTAGACTGATTCCCTGACGTCTATAAATTGCTTCGTTCACCTTTAGTGGGGTCAGGGAACCAAACTACAGCAACATGATTGTTTTTCATGGTTTTTCTAGCATCTATTAGCGCAGAACTTCAAACAAGTCAGTGTAACAATATTTACTATAAATAGTAACCCCAAAATCCATCCATTTCTGAAAATTACAGCAAAAGCAATTGTTGTATATTCCCTTTAAAGACCATAAATATGAAAATTTGATTAAAATCCAAAACTCTGGAGCACGTTGCTCAAACTTTTTAAAACAAATGTCTCCACTGACATTTTGTCCAGAACAGGAGGTTTCTTTTTAGGTTTTACATTGGGGAGACCCAAATGCAGAGCACAAAGCTATGTCGCTTGTCATTTTGGAATGTGTTTATTTTGAGTCTCAAGCACAAGTTGCCGCCAAGTTTATTTCATTATAGAGCAAATGTTAAACTCAAAGTAAAAGCCCAAACAGGAGATTTATTTTAACGATTTTCTTTGATAGATAGTTTCGATATTATTCTTCAATATCAAATATTTCGATATGATTAAAAAATTGGTATCGGCGATATCGATATCAAAATAATATTGAATAATCGAGTAATATCGATAATAGACGGTGCTTATCCTTCATTCAATTTCAAGAGAGATATGCATGCAAACCATACACCCAAAGACCAAATGCATATATTGATAATCACATTTTCTCCATATCAATTTTATTATATTGATGATCTAATTATATCTTTTTATTGGTTCTACATCCTTGTTAATTAGATTTTTGTTTTTGCATCATTATTGAGGAGTGTCCAGTTACTTCATAATGTTCCATAACAGCAATGAATGAACAATTTACTGCTTTGAAAGTCACATACACTGATAGTATATGAAAACACAACGAAAATGCATCACCTACAGTATTATGAAAATGAAAACGCATCACATATCAGGAAGCTTTATTAAAACCATAGTGTCAAAAATATGTACACCTTGGAAAGCCAGGTGAATATCATTCCTGCAAGTATTTTCTTAAATTCAAATTCAATTTCAATTCGGGCGATTCACAATGCAGTGCGCCACCAAGAGTTTGCCATGGAGTGTCCATTTTTCAAGTTTACGGTCGACAAAACATGGCTCATTTGAATGAGTGTCAGTAGAAAACTTGAGCTAATTTGTTATAGATTGTGCATAGCGTAATTCTGCCGCCTTACAAAAAATGCCATATTGATAAAAGGAAAAGAAAAGGGCAAACAGATACTCGAATCATACGCTTACGAAACTACTGGCCGGAAAAACCAACAATTTCAAATGTCCCAGGCTACGAATTTGTCGACCATCTCCCACAGTGCACTGGGAAAAATTAACTATCCGTAGCAAACTCTTGGTGGCGCACTGCATTGTGAATCGCCCGAATTGGATGCATATGCTTTTTAAAAATTCTATATATAAAGAGCACATTTGCATGCCCCTAATTGAATTTGAACGATAGTTTTTAATGGTAAAAGTGAATGCTGGTTTTAAGTGTTATTCAATTTCACAGGAAATTAAGTGATAATGTAGCATTTGATATTACAATAGTATGGGAAAGACCCTGTAAAATGAAGGTGATGTTATCTGTAGGTTAATCTAAGAATATTGAGTTGTCAGATTTTCACATTTTGTAAAGTGTGAACAGCAATCTTGAAACTTTTTTTGTGCAGTTAAACAAAGATAAAACATTTTACCTACATCTTTGTTCTTGTTGGTGAGTGCAGATATCTGGGAATTGTTTACATTGGCTTATCTAGCCACCAGACCTATTTTCTTCAAACTCAATGGTTCTTGAGTCTGCAGTGCTGAATGGTAATGCAAAGCAACCAGTTGAAACTGGTGTGCATGAAAAGATGTTTTCACTTGTCAGAATCCTGCCCTCACCTATAGCCCCATTATCAGATATACATGTAAGACAACTAGATATAACATTTAAATATTATGTGGAATACCAGTTACATAAATACAAGCTTGGTAAAATTTGTAAGATAAAAATACGTATTAAGAATATACAAATTGTGCTAACTACAAGTGTGACATTTTATACTAGTCACAGATGTGCTAAGTGCAAACAGGGGTGTGAAATCTTAGCTTTAAAGCTGATTTCAGCATTGTTTGTTTTGGATTTCAGCTTTTTTTCCCCTCACTTGCCGTATACAAAAGTATAGGAGATTTCCAAAGTTCAGCTTTTTTCCAGCTATTTTTATCAGAGGTGACTCACACCCCTGTGCAAACCTATTGTGTACCACCTTCACTATCATGAAAAGTGGGTTTTCTATGTCTATATGAGCACGTGTAGCCATTGATTAGTGCACCTGGAACAGTGGACATACAGGTCCATGACTGTGTGAAGGTCCACACTTGGAAATCTTACAAAATCAATGGGGGGGGGGTTCTCTCCAGAAAGATGAATTCTACTGTTTAAGCTGGCCTCAGGTTGACCTGAGACAACACAGATCAGTCAGCATCTGACTTTTTAGGATGAAGCTGTGGATGACACGAGCATGATTGTTATGCCACTTGTTCCATGATAATCACATGATTCCTCAGTTTTGTGACCCGAGCATGACTTTTGACCTTTATCAGACGATTTTGTCACGGCGCAAGCAAATCGCAGGTCGACCTGAGGGAGTGGGGGCTTAGGGTATTTACACACAAGTAAATGAAATTACATTCAAATAGTGGACGGTGAACAATCAAGGACAATAGGGTCCATGATGGAACTTATTTACACACATGTTATCTTGTTATCCTTACGTTTGAGAAATTTGAACAAAGAGCTGCGTGCGATAACAATAACCCAGAGAATGTACAAACCCTATGGGACATGTCGAAAAGTCCAAACAATTTACATGTATGTTCTTGTCACTTGGAAACAAGTCTGTTCTTTTCAGTTTGATATATGAGCTTTAAAAGACATACCATTAGTCTAATTAATGACACTTGTTTAGTTATAAAGGATTTCCAAAATGGACAAGTAAAATAAGCCATTAGAAAAGACAATCGATTCCACCCTCTTCAGCATCCGGGTGTTCAATGGCTATTTTGAAGAAAAGTGGAGATGAAATGCTAGAAGAGCTATTTTTTCAAAACATTTTTTTTATTTCCTGGGAAGATATGAAATGTGGCATAAGTACTTGTACTAGCTGGAGTTAGTAAGGCAACTACATTCATTTTAAACTTCTTGTTGCTCTCTGAAAATAGAACTGGGACGGATATCTGAATATCTATCACTCAAGTAAAGAGGGCTGGTCCATTTTCGTTTTCAGTTTCAATACCCAGTAGCAATCCTCATAAACTGTAGAAATTAAGGACTGGATAAAATCAGTAACATCATTTATCATTACGATCAATTTAACAATATAATAGTAAATCATGAAATTAAAATGGGCTGTGTGAAAGCACTGAAATGGTACATAAGGATATTGTTCCTTCAAATACAAAGAATCTCTTGCTTGAATGTTAAAAAACAAAATCAAAATTCCAAAAAACAATGATATAATGAGGACAGGTGACAACCATCTTAAAAATGTTTACACTTTGAATGTCCAAGAAGTTTCATAACTCGGCCCAAAAATGTACATTCAGATGTAGTGTACATAACATATTTACAGTCCATATAAAAGCACCATCAAAGACACATAATACATAAATATCAACTGTACTTTTTCCTCTTTTAATAGTACACATTTATGAAACGCTGTGACTTGCACTTAAAGTCTTTTTTTTTTATATTAACATTTTTTCGAAAAGGTAATAATAATAATAATACTGTCCTTACAAATATAACTTATTTTGGGGGAAATGATTAATTGGTATGTCATAAACATGAGAATAAATCAGCTGATACATGTAAATTCTAATGAATGCATTAAGAATATTACCTTTAATTTCAATTTGGACAATCTATGACAAAAGACTCTGCACAGAAAACAGTGATTTGGGTAAGTTCTATACATGATGCCCATAGCAAAATGAGAGTATCTTCTGTGGTTGACAGCATTAGAAACCTCCCGATTCCATCCGCTGTAAAGCCTAACTCCATGCAGTAAAGTTTTGCCCACAACAAGATCCGTAATGTTCATGTATGGCAAATGCTTCACTTTTGTAGAAAACATTTTCCTGCAACAAGCTTGCTTGCCGTCATGAACAAATGGCTCATAAACACTGATGACGATTGAGAAGATGATGCAGTGAAGAAGACATCTTCCAGATGCACACTTGTTGTTTTTCCCTAGTTTGAATCAATATTTTATACAAAAACATGTTGCATAAGCTTTAGAATTTGGCAATCTTCACTTCAGACAGCCAACTGTAACATCCTCAAATCCTGGGCATTTCCGAGTGATCAGATGATTGAAAAACAACCAACAGGTAAAGGATACTTTTTGTGGATGTGGCTATGTGCTATGAAAATGAAATTATGAGTGGATTGCACCACAATATACATGTAATATGCAGGACTCTTTGATATCACTCCACCATAGCAAAATGTGTTCAAGTGGCATTGAAATGAATTGTGAAACAGTGTCAATAGTTGATTTGGATGAGTGGTTGTGATTTAGAAGTGAGAATCACTCAATGATATGGAAGTCACCTTCAGTAACTATGTGGATGTTGCTGTGGAAGTCAAACCATGGAAGATGATAGCAGGATGAAGCCTGTAACCTGTGGGAATGCTGCTTTTAGAGAAATTCAACCTGATGAATTGGATGTTCTGTGAGCCATCACAGTGGGTGTCTTGCTGTAATGGGAGTTTGCTCCTCACACCATGTGCCCCTGACCAGCACCTACAGAAGAATGTCGTCTCATCAACAAATCTGTCATGTTTACACAACAGTTGCCACATAAATACTGGCAACAAAATCCATCGATCTTTGATAAATCATTTCAAGCCAATAGGGTCATTATTGCTCTTATGATCCAGTTTTGCAAGTCTACTCTGGAGGCAGCTGGCGTTTTCTTCTTCGGACGACCTTGCAGTCCCCAGTATCAATCCGACAACGGTCAGTGCATCGTAACGTGCCCATTGTCTCATACCTGTCGGCAAGTGAATGCAAAATTCCCAATTTATAGCATCTTACCTTGATAACAATGCTTTGAAAATTATAAAGGAAGTATTCAAGTATGATCAACCATACATTCTGTGACAGTTACAACTCAAACTTCACAACTGATCAGTCAAGTCTGACTCACTCTGAGAAGTAGTCATCACATGTTTTTCCATTGAAGTTGAAAGTGTCACATTCCTCCACCCCTTCTTGTCTGTAACCATCTCCACAGTAAGATCTCCGGCAGTCTGAAATGAATAAAGCATGGTCTGTTGTCACCGGCCGAAAACAGCCTTTGTTTTCGTTAAGATTTTTTTTATTTTTTTTACTTTATTTTATTTGGTTTTTTTTTCAGTTATTTTGCCCATAGCATTTGTGCACGTTTTTTTGTCCCCGGCACTTTAGGCACTAAAATCAATCCAATTGCCTTTATACTTGGCACACACTTAGACCAGCACCTGCTGCTGCGTGCCGAACATTGACGTCATCACGAGTCACGTGACGTCACATTATATGCAATTTTTCTGTTGTGACCATTTTCTAGCAGAATTCAGCTAGATCTGACAGATTGGGCTATATCTCCAGAACTACAGGTCTGATTGGGTTGAAAGTTGGTATAAATGTACCTAGACCGGGATGTGTTATAGATAAAAAAAAATGAAGTGACGCCATGATGACGTCATCATGGGTCACGTGACGTCACGTTAAAGATTAATGGATTTAATGTTTGAAAATTAATATAAAATCAATCGTGAGAGACCTGAACATGACTTTTGCGGGAATTGATAGAATAATCCAGGGTCTTCGTTTTTGATATTATGTACAAAATCATTTTACCCTTCCTTCCGGTTGAAACCGGAAGTGCCTTGTAATTTAAAATTGGTGAAAGGTGTGAACTTGCTTTCAAAGATGTATGCTCTGGCTAAGTTATTTCCAAATAAATATAGTTATAGATGAAAATTGATGTGACATCATCATGACGTCATCACGTGAAATGTGACATCATAATTCAAAGCCCTATGAGAATGTAATCACATATTATATGACACCATTTATTATAAACAGAACTACACATCCTTTCTGGATGGAACTAGTTGAAACTTTACATGTCACATGTCACGAAAAGTTACCGAAACAGCCCTGTGTTTGTCCACAAACATAAATCTAGTTACATTTAAATTTTGTACCACATATCCTACCATTCCATACAAGGCAATAATTGGCAATCTATTTATATTTTATATCACAGCCTTATCTACTTAGACCATGCACGGCTTGTCAGTTACTTTATGTACCAAGTTTTATACCACGTATGTTATGGTCTGTTTGACAAATACACCATGTCAATAACAGAAATCTATTATCCATACGACTTAAGGCGGCTTCATCTCCAATGAGATATTCATAAGGACTGCAATTTGTTTAATTTATTTTATGAGAACAAACAACTTACATATGCAGCTGTCTGTGTCAATGTCATTCCCGTCATCACATTGCTCCTTTCCTTCAATCAGATAATTGCCACAAACCTTGAACATTTAGAAATAGAAAAAAATCAGCACTATTTATTATCTTGGACATCTGTCATAAAAAGATATATTCACAATTTCAAGCACAATGGTATGGACTCTATACAAGAGCTGTTCCTTGTGCAGTGTGCCCAACAGCAACATGATTATTTGCCTGCCAAATGTACATAATTAATCATTGAAAACCTCACAGAACATAATGTGCTCAATATTATGCTGAAAGAGGGCAGGTACATGTACATTGGAAGATGAGCTGAAGTGCCCTAACTTAACATATACCAAGGGCGGATCCAGAACACAATTTTTTGGGGGGGGGCCAAAAAAATTTTGGTCCCCCAAAAAAGTGGGGGAATTTTTTGGATTCTAGATGCTCTGTGGTGCGATCTGAGGCAATTTCTGACCACTTTAACCAATGTTTTTTTGAGGAAAAGATGGTGGTGTACTCATTGCCTGCCTTTATTGCGATGTCACATAAAAAAACAAAAAATTGGTTTCGTTTTGGGGGGGGCCATGGCCCCCTTTGGCCCCCCCCCCCCTTGGATCCGCCCTTGACATATACATGTAAAGAGTAAACAGTTAGTTCCGAAGGCTGCTAGGCTATGTCTAAAGATCTTCTCAATTAGTTATTGGGTTCTTTTCCTACATGTTCTTTTCCTACATGGTCTTACCATACAGAAAGGACAGTCTGTGGTCTTACCTCTTGATCTCCACCACTGTAATCACCCAAATCTCCCTTAGCCCCTTTGGGTCCCTGTGGCCCAGGAGGTCCCATGTCCCCCTGGGGGCCAGGTGACCCTGGGGGTCCTGCAATGACCTTCATGGAGCCTTCTGTCATCAGGCAGTTCCAGTGCTCTGTGTCCCTGAAGTACAGTTTCTTGTCATCCATACGATAGACTAGAGCTGCCTCAGCTCGGATGGAATGCATGGCAATCTCATTGGGAACAATGATAATTTGCTGATGGGTAGAAGAAAGAATTGCAGGTGCATATGAGATATATATATGCTCATATGTTTATTGACAATAATTACAAAAGTTTGTTCACCAAGCTTCTCTGTGGACTGTGTCTCCATTCGGCATTTATCATCGGAACACTGTGCCAGTCCTATTTTGATGTGGATTTTGATGTGGACGTTTTCAGAAATTTATCTACCCCCCAACAATATGTATGTATACAGGGAATTTTATTCTTCGTAATTTGTACAAGACACATTTTGGAGCACTGCACATCTGCAAGTTTAACCAGTATATGTCACTTGATGAACTTTACGTAAATCGTCAAAATTTAGCCTATCGTAGTGAAAAGTTTTGGACATTTGCTCATCGCAAAACTTTTTTTGGATCTAGATGCTCTGTAGTGCAATCTGAGGCATTTCCTGGCCACTTTCCCCTGACTTTTTGAATGAAATGTATTCGTGTTTCAGTGGGTGGGTCATCAAAGATGATAAATTACATCACAAGCATCACATCAAAACTGTAGCTTGACTCTCTTTCTAGATTTGTGCTCTTTAGCTTGATCCATGATTGTGTTTACAGGGAAAGGGCGTAATCATACATGTCGCCATGCACTACACGTTAAGTCAAATGGAATTTAACCATGAATTTTAGTTTTCCTCAGACTTGTACTTACGTTTTCTTAAAAAGAAGTGGTTTTCTAGCTGAGAAAATAGCAAGGAAGAACCGGTATTGTGCAAGCAAAATTCAGGGAATAATCCGTTGATACTAAATATCTTGTTGGAAAATTCCAAAATCATTTCAAGAAAGTTGCCACTGTGAATCAGAGTTTATGAAGGGACGGAAAGTGGGATTTGCTATCAGCATCAACAGGGCTGTTCCTCATTCTTTACCTTATGGGATGTAAATCAAATTGGAGGACGAGAGCCTCTGCGGGCTGATGTATTTTTAGAAATTTAATTCACCGGTATGGATACCAGTGTACGTACATGATTGAACTGCCAAGCGTATTTGTTAAGTTTTTTTTTTTCTAAAAAAAAATACATCAGCTCGCAGAGTCTCTCATCCTCCAATTGATTCACATCCCATCAGGTAAAGAATGACGAACGGTCTTGTTGATAGCAAATCCCACTTTCCGTCCCTTCATAAACTCTGATTCACAGCGGTAATTACTTTCTTTGAATGATTTTGGAATTTTCCAACAAGATATTAACTTCAACGGATTATTCCCTGAATTTTGCTTGCACAAACCCGGTTCTTCCTTGAAATTTTCTCATTTAGAAAACCACTTCTTTTTAAGAAAACACAAGTACTAGTCTGAGGACAACTAAAATTCATGGTGGCGGCCAATCGCCATTTGTTTAACTTAACATGTAGGCCTAGTGGCGACATGTATGATTACGCCCTTTCCCTTTAAACACAAACACAAAAACAAAACAAAACACAAAAAACAACACAAGAAAAATTTGGGGGAGGGCAACGGGGGCCATGCCCCCCCCCCCCCCCCAAAAAAAAATGGAACCCATTTTTTTTTCAGTGTCGTCGCAATAGAGGCAGGTACTGCATACACCACCATCTTTTCCTTTAAAAAATGGTTAAAGTGGTCAGAAATTGCCTCAGATCGCACCACAGAGCATCTAGAAACCAAAAAATGTTAAAAAACAAAAATCCACCCTTGGGGCCATGCAAGGCCTTGTATACATTAAAAAAAAAAAAAGATATGCCTGTTATTATTGGTACGGCCATAGCCGTACCTGCCGTACCGCTTCCTACGGCCTTGTGTGGCTCCTTGGCAATTTTAATTTCCCTGATGTACTCTGGGACCAGATGAAACTTTGCCCCGGTGAAAGATATGGAGGACCTAGTAAGGCAATGATTTAGCTGCCGACCACAATCTGTACCAAGAGATTACACAACCAACTAGACAAGATAACACTCTAGACTTATGCTTCACCAACAGCCCTTCATTTGTTGTAAGTACTGATGTCATTCCAAGAATCAGTGACCACGACGTTGTAATAGTCCACATGCATCTCTGCTAAACCAAAACTTTTACGGCCCCAATGCAAAATTGATTTGCATAACAAAGCCAACTACACTGAGATTTCACGCCTCATTGATGAATTTAATACAGAAAATTGAACACTAGAGTTTGTCCCACAATTAAGCTCCGATCAACTTGTCAAAAACTTCAGTAAATTCCTGACCTGCACCATAAACCAACACATTCCTTCCAAGCTTACGTCATCTGCCTGGAAACTACCATATTGGATCAACAACTCAATAAAATGTGACATCTGCAAGAAAAAACGTCTTTACAAGAAAACTAAGAAAACCAACTCACAAGCTGCAAGGGAAGCTTTCAAAAAATTCCCCAGGGCAACAGATAGGAAAATTAAGAAAGTGAAACACGACTACATAAAAGACATCATTGGATCAAGCCTTGACACCATACCTTTTTGGAACTTCATCAAATCCAAGAAACAGGAAGTCTTCGGTGTTACAACATTATTAACACCCGATGGCAATACTGTTTCCTCCCCAACCGGCAAAGCCAATGTCTTAAACAACCAATTTAGCTCAGTATTCACTAGAGGACCTCAATTCTATTCCACCCACGAGGGACTCAACTGTTCCAGATATGCCTAATATCATCATTCACCCAGTCGGAGTAGAGAAATTGTTAAAGAACCTGAATCCCTCCAAGGCAGCTGGCCCGGATGGAATTCCAGTGAGAGTTTTGAAGGAATGCGCCTCTGCTCTGGCACCCGTCTTTATGAAGATTTTCCAAAAATCAATAGACTCAGGCAAATTACCGCAAGACTGGTTAGATGCAAACGTAACGCCTTTATTTTAAAAAGGCGACAGGAAGGATCCTGCCAACTACAGTCTCCCTAACATCCATTCCCTGCAAACTTCTGGAACATATACTTCATAACCACAGAATGGCTCACCTCGAGAAACACAGTGTCCTTACAGACAACCAGCACAGGTTTCGCGACACACAGCTGGCAGCATTGGTAGATCACCTTCCTTGCGAGAATCCTTGACAACAAAAGTCAGGCAGATCCAATAATGATGGATTTTCGAAAGGCCTTCGACTCTGTGCCCCACCAGAGGCTCCTGAGAATGTTTCACAGCTTCGGAATCAGGAACGGCCACCTGAGTTGGATGGAATCAGTCCTCGCATCACTTTATCAGCGGGTGGTACTAGAGGGAACAGCCTCGGCGAAATGTAAAGTAACCTTTGGTGTCCCTCAAGGTACTGTTCTATGGCCACTGATGTTTTTAAAATACATCAGTGACCTCCCTCAGGATCTTCTCTCCAAAGTCAGATTGTTCGCAGACGATTGTATATTAATTATATCGGGAAATCACCTCACCTAGGGACTCGATTATACTCCAAAATGACATCGACACTCTCAGTCGTTGGGAAACAGATGGCAGCTCTGTTTCAACATCTCCAAGTGTCATCTACTGAGGGTTACTCATAAGAAAAAACCAGTTGTGTCTAGCTACCACATTGGTAACACCATAGAGGAAGTTAAACAGTTAAGAGGGAGTTAATCTCAGCCACGATCTGAAATGGTTAACACACATCAGTCAGATAATCTCCAAGACCAATAGGATATTAGGACTCCTAAAGAGGAACATTTACTACTGCAATACCAATGTGATATCCATAGACTACAAAACGTTAGTCAGACAATTGCTTGAGTACGGCTCCACTATTTGGGATCCCCACTTCGACACCAACATTAAGAAACTTGAACAGGTCCAAAACCGTGCCACTAGATTCGCAGTTCGTGATTACAACCAAGAATCCAGCATTACTACAATCCTATGAAATCTGAAATGGGAATCACTTTGGGACAGAAGGACTAAATCTCGTTTAATATCAGTCTACAAAGAAACACACGGTTTAACACCAAACAATATAATGGATTATCTCAACTCACCCATCGGTACAATTACAAGATCATCTGGTAGCCTCCATACATACAAACCAATCCGTGCTCACCAAGACTGCTACCGGTTTTCATTTCATCAAGACATCCGTACAGCACCTGATCTAAAGTCATATAAAGCTGCGCTAGACTCCATCAACATCAACCAAGTGATAAAAACAGCGCATTATAACAATTAATGGCTTGTCTATAGCTGCATTGCGTTTCGACCCTTACCTGACGTACGACAACATTCTTACCAGGTGTTTGTACTGAGAGTGATACAGATACAGATACAAATATGCTACAATAAAATTGCCAAGTGACTGAGGGACTGTGCATGCACTGTATACATATATTCATGATATGCTAATTTCATTGCACTTACAGTGTGTTTTTGGTGTTGCACCACATGTTTTACCTTGCTGTATTATGTTTAATATTAACTTGTGCTCATGTTCAAGTGGAGGTGGAAGCCTTGCTCGAGTTCACAGCGCATGAAAAAAAGTGGTGTCCTCATATCATCAGACATGAACACATTTGTCTTAGGACACAGAGTAATGTTCAAGAGAGAGGAATGCTTGGGTATACATATCCTAACAAAGTATATACGTAGGATATAATGAATTGTTTAATTGCAGTATCCGCTGCTACATGTACATCAGATTCAAACCTGCCAATCGATCCCGCAAGCTCGGTGGTCAAATGGTAAAATATCTGCGCTAGAAAGCAGTGTTATATTCAAGTACTTTTTTCCCCGAGTACCAAGTACTGCCGATCAAGTACTTAGGTTGACTAGTACGATGTCTCCGACTTCCAATACAGGTACTTGTACTTCCGAGTACGAGTACAAGTACTTGTATTCTGAGTATGAGTACTTTTGATTTTGATTTGAACTTGACTTTATTTCATCTCATAATTCACATGAGTACAAGGTAATAAGCAGATAATAAATACAATTAATAGAGATGTGGAATCCATAAGAAAGCTTAGCTTGTGGGTATGGACCCCGATAATTAGCATGATTATATACACAGACAAATGGATTGTAAACACAACAAACATGAACGAAACAAGACAATGGGGATGGAAGGCAAATCGGAATAAATGAAAATAAATTACAATAATATGTAGGTAAAAATGATGATAGAACAAATCATTAACACAATCAAGAAGAACCTCTGATCAGTAGCTAAACGTTAATAGTGAAGAAGACTCAAAGTTGAACTAAACAAGAGAAAATCGATTTCATTATAAAGTGAAAAGAAAGAATACGTACATGTCGATGATTTTATTTGAATGAAATGATCACAAATTTATTGGAGCATATACATTAAACTATGACAAGATAAATAGCGAACAAGGCTTAGGCGTATTTATTTAAAAGGAATTGCTTGAAGGTTTTTTTTAATATGATATCAGATTTGGTATTTTGCAAGGGCCGCTGGAGGGAGTTCCATAGCTTGGGACCTTGGAAGGGAATGGCTTTTTGGGCGAGTGTGGTACGGACATTTGGGAGATGATAATGGGCAGATTGTCGGGTTGCATGAGAATGAATGGCGATGTTTCTAGTGAAAACCGATGCAAGACAACATGGAATAACATTCCGAGATATTTGGTGCATGAAGATACCGAGCTGAAAGGTGTAAAGATTATATGTTTTGTGAGAATAGAACTTATATTTCCTAAAACGGGTACGAGTACTAGTACAAATTGCACTTCGTGATCTTTGAAGCCAAACTGCAGGACAGCTACAGACGACATATTTCATGATTTTTTGCACGAACAAGTTACAACTTGGGCACAAAAGTGCCACAAAATTTTCACATGCCGACTATTTTTTGCATACCTGCCAACATTGAAAAGTCAGAAAGAGGAACAGCAACGGTGAGTGGCGCAGGCACGGCGCGCTAATGGGTGGGGTCCAGGGGCAATCATACAAAGTACATGTAGGCCCTACATGTGGATGTGCCTAAAATGTTACATGATATCCAGAAGCAGACCCATATTCTTATTTAGGCTAGTGGATAATTTTCTGAATTTTTCAGCCGTTTTTTGCTGATCAAAATTTTTTACAATTTGAGAATAAATGACTGCTGACTTACATGCTTCACGGTTAATCACATGTAGATATTCAGTCACAGTAATGCATTTTACATGTACAATGTACAAGTGCAATTTTATTTGGAAAAGTTTGTACATAGGCCTGACCGCCTGTCAGCCTGTCATGCCTGTTATTAGTGTTAATACAATACACATTTCAACGTGGCAGATTCATAGCAACGACGTGTACTACGCATGTAGTCTGCTTCCCTGACGTGACATCCTAGGCCTGTGTTTATGTCTGTGGGCCTGAAGCCGGAACCAGACTAGGGGCCGTTTACCAAACCCTGGTTTTGGCTCCGTCCAGGTGAATCCATACATAATTTTCTTTGTGCTCTTTGAGAATCGCTATGACAATTATTCCCTCATTTGATACCGGTGGCCAAAATTTTGGACCGAGGCTAATGGCCTATAGTTGAAAAAAAGTAACAGTAAAAAAAATCTGTGAGAGCTTACTCATGGAAAAGGAACTTGCCCGACAGAAAGCTGTGGACTTGGCGCGACGCTTTGAAAAAGCAATGCAAGAGGCCAATAACCTTACAGAGACGAATGGTCAAGCAGACCGGGTCAACAAAGTCAGCAAATTCCACAGCCTTTCCACGAAGTCCAAACCTCCAAATTCCCGTTTTCAACCAGACATGTCCACTAAACAAACTTTTTGCTACCGCTGTGGTTCTCAAGCACACATAGCGAATGACAGGGCATGTCCTGCCAGAGAAAGGGAATGCAACGTATGTCACTAAGTGGGACATTTTGGCAAGGTATGCAGACAAAAATAAGGAGGAAAGGAACAAACGAATGAGCACATGCAAGTTCTAGTCGACATTGTACGAAAATGACTGGAGTACTTCAAGTCTGTGACGATTCCTGTCAACAGCAGAATCAAAAGATGAAGACGTCCATGTATTAGCAACCGACAATGCGGGTAACAAAACTGACTCAGTAGTCTGCAACGTCGACATCAACGGAGTACAAGTGCCGCTTATGATCGACACTGGTTCGATTGTGAGTATTCTGACTAAGAACACATTCAACAAGTACTTTTTATCTGAGGCATTACAGAAACAATCCCCTGAACAAAAACTGTTGTTGTTTACGCAACATATGATCAAGATTCTTGGGTATTTTGAATGTACATTTTCACTTTAGTTACAAACTTGTATGTTGTTGACTCAGGTACTGACATTTTAGGCAGAGATCTTGTGAAAGGCATGCATAATAATATCCATGGTTCCACTTTGTCATGTAACACCGTAGACTCAGACGAAGAAAATAGTGTAAACTTTACCTGAAAATGTTCACAAATTTGAAAAGCTGTTCAATGGTCAGGATGAATTACTGTCTTATTTGTCTCAGAATTTGCGTGTTCCACGTCCATTTGTACATCATGTAATTGGACAGTATTTGACAAGCTGTGTTGGTGCGATTCTACTGCGATAGCTTAACTGCCAGAACGTCCTTTTATGCAATTTTCAGAACTTTAAATTTCAGACTTTTGTGGAAATTCACATCATATGCAGTAAAGTACAAAATGTGAACTTTGACTTGACCTTGACCTAGGCCACCAAAACCGGGCACCTTGAATGTCTTTTACGGACCTATAAAGTAAGTGTGCCAAATTTGGTACTTTAATCGGGTGTGTCACAGTTGGGTTTTTTAAGCCATTGGACTATAATAGCGAGGACAAAGTGCAGAATGTTTTTGGTTGTTTTATTGAAATCTTTCATGTAATTAATTTGAGTTCTCAAGAGTCAAAAGAAATCAGGAAAGTATAAGAAGCCACTTACCCCTTCCATGAGCCTGCTTCCAGGGTCACCTTTCTCGCCCTTAGGCCCCTGTGGACCTGGCCCTCCTGTTTTGCCTGGGGAACCTGGCTGGCTTGCTGGCCCAACTGGTCCAACTGGCCCTACTGGACCCATTTGGCCATCTGAAATAGACAAGTGCAGTTTTATGCTCTGTTAGGCCCAAAAAAAAAAAAATATTCGGTCTCTGGTCAGACCAAAGTTCCGGAATTGATGCGGCCACGCGGCTTTTTTTTTTTTTTTTTGCTTTTTTTTTTTTTTTTTTCAAGCTTGGATTGTACAGACAAGGTGGGTATTATTTTGCTTTTTTGGTGTCCTCATGTACATTGGTGTCCTCCATAATTTGCCTTGGTGCTTTCGATCATTTGCCTTGGTGCAATTTCCCATTCCTTGGTGCTCTTTGGTAAAAAAAATTGAGGAGGTGCGGAAATAGAGGGCGCTGTTGGAGCTACCGCGGAACATTTTGGAAAAAAAAAAGATCGACGCGCATGCTTAAAATCGACGCGCGCGCTGACCAGAGACCGACTTATTTTTTTTTTTGTATCTTATACACATTTTTTTTAATTGACCTCTGTGCAAGGACTATGAAATCACAAGTAAAACATCTAAAAGATTGTATTTTACTTTTTGGCTTTTCCGCTATCATCAGAAAATTAGCTATTGTTTTTCTTCTGATATGTTTTTGGCTTTTCTGCAAACTTGCTGAAAACATTTCTTTTTGTTCTTATATGTTCACTTTGCCAATTGGGTCAAAAGTTTGTGCGTACGCAGTCAGGCATGTGTTGTAAATATAAATTGAGGTGATGATGTCAGCATGTGATTTTTGGCCGTTTCGGCAAACTTGCCGAAAACAACCTTTGTTTTTGTTAAGATTTGTTTGGTTTTTTGCTTTTCTGCTTGAAAGTGGAAAAGCATTGTTTCTGTTCTGATTTTTTTATTCCCCTTGTTCCTACCCAAAATCCCATAGACTTTGTACATGTTTATTCAAATGAAACTTGTCCAATGTAAAGACCCCATAGTGACATTGTGTACCGAAGAGTGACGTCATGATTACGTCATCATTGGTCACGTGACATCATCTTAAACATGCACTCTTTAAGACCCTAATTCTAAAGGACTGTAAGTCCGATTGGGTTGAAACTCAGTATGTAGGTAGACCAGGATGTGTTATAGGTAAAAATTGAGGTGTTAATTTTATTGCTTTTCCGCTTGAAAGCGAAAAATCATTGTTTTTGTTCTGATATTTTTTCTTTTCTTTTTTTTTCTTCCCTTTTCTTTTTGTTCTAACCCAAATTAACCACGCCACTTTTGACCTAAAACAAACTTGTATTCTGATGAAACTTACAATATATAACGACCCCATAGTGAGCTTGTGTCCCAAAGAGTGACGTCACGATTACGTCATCATGGGTCACATGACGTCATCTTAAACATGCACACTTTAAGACCTATATCTAAAGATATGAAGTTTTGGACCTTTAAGCCATATCTCACAAACACAGTATGCTAAAATCAAAATTCTTTTGTAATATGTTTGTTGGTAACAGGTTTATTCAGAAAATTGTAAAAATTGTGTGATGTCATTATGACGTCATTATGCAAAATCTGAGGTGACGTCATGATGACGTCATCACCTATTTTTTTATTAATTTATCAACTTTTTTTCATTTTTCTTCTGATACAAAATTTGACAAAGTATTTTTTAAAAGTATTTCTTTACATGTATTATTTTTAAAATGCGGAAAAGCCTGTGTCCTGTTCATCGAACAGGCATAGCTCTAGTTTTTCTTTTTTTTTCTTTTTGTTCCACCCCAAATCCCATAGACTTTGTACACGTCTAGTCAGCACGGCACTTTGGACCTAAAACAAACTCGTATCCTAATGAAACTTTACATATATAAAGACCCCATAGTGAGTTTGTGTTCCGAAGAGTGACATCATGATTACGTCATCATGGGTCACGTGACGTCATCTTCAATGTGCAAACTTTAAAACCCTATATCTATAGAACTGTAAGTCCTATTGGGTTGAAACTGGGTATGTAGGTAGACCAGGATGTGCAGGTAAAAATTGAGGTGACGTCATCATGACGTCACCATGTCATTTTATATCGTTTTTTGAAGTTTTGGACCTTTAAGCCATATCTAACAAACGCAATATGCTAAATTCAAAATTCTTTTTGTATTATGTTTGTTGGGTAACATGCAGGTATATTCCCAAAATTGTGAAAATTGTGTGACATCATTATGGCGTCATTAAAATGCAATTTTTCAAAACACATATAACGGAATCGTCTGATCGTGATGAAACTTGGTGGGTGGGTAGATAATAGTACTTGCACACAAAATCTGAAATGACGTCACTATGAGGTCATCTGTAGATTTTTTACGATTTTTAAAATATTCACGATTGTATTTCTACTTACAAAATTTAACACTTGTAATCATCCGATCGGTTTCAAACTTGGTACAGACTAAAACCACACTAATGAGCACTGCCAAGTATTGTTATGATGATGTCATCACAGGGCATGTGACGTCATCACAGGGCATGTGACGTCATCACAGGGCATGTGACGTCATCATGCATGTGCATTTTTCCAAGTTTTCTATTGAGAAAACTATCTGACTGAATGGCTCAAAAATCTGTATGAACGTAGTCTGACACGTGTAGTGGAGGGAAATTACCCTGGAGTCATTTGATGTTTAATGAGATTAAATTTGCTTCAAAATCCATCTTTTTCAACGATTTTTCAAGTGTGAGAATGTTCTGCAGATTGGTGGTTGTTACACATTTTAGGAGGAATTTTATGATCTTGCAAACGCACACTTGTGTTCAATTTGCTGAATTTAATAGTATTTGTGATCTTCACTTGACCGTTTTAAATACATCCTCTACAAAATATTGGGCGCACGCAGTTTCTGCAACATGGGACCGTAATCGCACGTCAATTGGCGATAGGAAAATTGTACTAGTTTATTGATATTTTCCATTTTCTTTTTAATCTTATTTGCATATCTTACGAACGAGGTTTGGAAGGTCATGGATATATGCCCAATTTCTTTTAGAAATGTGCGATGTCATCATGGCGTCATCAAAATGCAATATTTTAAAACACATATTGTGAAATATCCAATTGTCTTAAACTTGGTGGGTAGTAATAGATTATGTGTATATATAGTAATTCCAAACATGGAATGACGTCATCATGATGTCATCAACAAACATATGATGTACGTATTTTTAAAAAAAGCGTTACAAGCTTATTGTTCCCAACACTGTTTAAATGTCGTGTATTTATCTTTCTGCCATATTGAAATGCACTTTGCAACTGACCCTTGGCCTTGGTTTGATTTTGGTCGGAACAGTGACGTCACTCCAACCAACCGAAGTCACACAAATGCTCAACCAATGACCAAAGCCAAAACATGTTTATGGTCATGGTCCTGAAAACACGCCCCAGGCAACCTTCATATGATAATGGTGTCAAAGGTCATCTGAGATGAAGTTGTAAAATAGGCTGCATTTTTATTAAATTAGGCTTCATATGATTATGGTGTCAAATGTCATCTGAGATCAAGTTGTAAAATAGGCTGCAAATGTAAACATTATCTCATTTGAAAAAGTTGAAGTCCAATTGCAACCAAACTTGGGTCATAGATGCAACATGGCAACCTTCATATGATAGTGATGTCAAAGGTCATTTACAAAGGTCAAAGGTCATCTGAGGTCAAGTTGTGAAATAGGCTGAAAAGCTAAAATTGTTCTCATTTGAAAAGTTGAGGTCCAATTGGAACCAAACCTGAAACATAGATAACTTTAAATATCATGATCATATAAAGATATCGTCATGATGCCAAGGTCACAGACCAAGGTCAAGTGTCATCTGGGTCAAATTGCCCTTGCCAATGCACCCCTTGCGGCCCTGATTACGATAGTCACTCTTTAAAGGGTTAAAGATAATCGCCAAAGCAGGCGAGACTCATGGTTCGAGAACCATCTTGTTAATTAATTGTTTTAATTACTATGAATTTCGATTTTTTCTTTGCAGTGTTTTGAATAATTTAGAAATGAAAGAAATGAAATAAATTGAAAAGGCCTTTCTTCAAAATTCAACTATCAATATACAAACAGAGGACAATCAACAATTCTAGTTTTCTTCTTTTATGGGGGGAGGCCATCACGCACTCCTTCATCAATGGCCCATCACGGTGTGGTGCTCCTAAATTTGCAGATGCAAGGCAAACATGTACACTGCACATGTGCGTAGGCCTACGCGTACATGTTTGCACGCGTACTTTGTGCTAAAACGTTCAGTCCATAATTAACACCTTGACGGTTTTGAGCTGAGCAGGTGAACTCATTGCGATGACATAGCCACCCCTGTGAAAACCGAATTTCCATTGGTCAGCATGCGATAGATCACTTTTACCACGATGCATACACCGCGCCCATACAGTGGCGTAAATCTGTGCCAGCGAGGGAGGGGGGGATTAATTACCACAATCCAAAAATGTTTTAAATGTGCACAAATTAATATGTATACTTGCGCTTTCATCAAAAAGGCGCATTTTTAAAGCTTTTGTACTTTGTTCTAAACATTTCAGTGCTATTGAATGAATGTCGTTGGATGTTCGAAAAATACCGCGAAATCTGCATTTTTTTTTTGCATTACAAAAAAGGGTGGGGGGGTGATTCGATACCCCCAATCCCCCCCCCCCCAGGATTTCATCCCCTGACTGCATCTATCGCTAATGTGTACAATTAACCAAGGTGCCCAAGACAGCAAGCATACGTCGATCCGACGTCGGCAAAGGTCGGCGACATGGCCCATGGACGTACGACAGTGATGTAGTGCCTTGATGCTGGGCCTTGGCCTTAAGGCTGCCTTAAGGCTGGATTTTAGGGCCTTGGCCTTGGCCTCGAGGCTTGAGGGCAAAAGCCTTGGCCTTGAGGGTTCAGGGCCTTGCAATTTTGAGTCAAGGCTCTTCAAGGCCCATAGATTTTTGCATTTTCCAGACAAATCTGTTCGAAATTTTGCTGTTACCATTTTAATCGTATTACGATGGAGGAGGGATAAGCACCATATAGATTTGTGTGTTGGGCACACTTCCACTTTTATAGC